TCTCATACTATAAGTTAGACACCATATTGTAACCACTTCATTGGTGTGGTAAAGGTTAAATGAGTTAAAACAGTCAGTGCTCATATCAGTTCCTGGTGCACAATATTTTATCAAGAAATATTAGTATTTTGATTTTTCTCCTTGGAAGCACTTTCTCTTGGCAGAAAATTGAGTAACTCATTCTTTAATAATGACCATTTATTCATTAGATTCCAAGCTCCATGGACACAGGGATCATTGCCCTGTTTACTACTATTTCCCCTGTACCTAGTGGAACACCTGGCACTTAGCAGGACTTAACTAATGTTTGTTCAGTGAACAAACCTATAAATGAATAGATAAGTGAGGGAATAAACAGGTTTTCTTCATGGAAAATTTACAACAATAAACATAATAGAAGCAGGAGGGTGAAGGCCTACATTAAGTCTGTGTAGGTGTTAGGGGAAGTAGGGACACAGATAGGAAGGCTTTGTCTAGGGGGTAGCTTTTACCAGGGCATTGAAGGATGGGTAGAGTTTGTGTATCCCGTGATTGTGCTGAACCGAGGGGACAAGAAGGAAAGGAGATTAGTGCCAAGTAAATGTTAGGAGATTTTTCTTTTTTTTTTTTTTGCTTTTGCCACACACTAAACAATAGTTTGATGATAATTGTTTCTCTTTCTTCATGGTTAATTCTCAAGATTGGTTTTTGTTTTTTAACTTTTGCATCCACATGGGAAAAATCTCTTGCAGTATTTTAGATTTTGAAAAAAGCAACAGAGGAAAAATGTGATGGATGCTTATTGGTTTGCTGACTCTTAAAAATAAACTTCAGGTCATGGAAGGCCTAGAAAGTGAGTGATTGTCTTTATTCTGAAAGCAGCAAGGAATTGACAGGGAGTGACCTGGGGAAAGAGGGTTTCCTGAAAGTCAGTGTTGCATCCATGCAGAGATGGGGCAAAGAGGCAAAGGATGACATCTATTGCCAGGGTACATATGAGTGGCAGGGAAGGCCAGGACTACGTAGTCACAGATGGGTTGAATATATGTAAGAGATAATTACAGTGAGACCCTGAACATGACCCAGGTGAGGTTGCGTTCAAGTGAAATAACTGTAAGGAATTTAGACTCTTAGAACAGTAATGAGACCTTCAAAGGCCAGCTCTTGTACCCCATTTTTTAAATCATTTAATTCAGTCAAATTTCTGACTTTTGACAATAAGAAAACTCAGACTCAAAGAGATGAAGTGACATGCCCCACATCACATGCTTTTAGAGGCAAAGTGAGATTTGAACTCGTATTTCCAGTTTCTAGTCAGTTGTTTATATATACAGAAAAATATTCCTTTTTACTCTTGTTGATATCCAAACAAGAAGATCTTTTAGTTCAAACGGCACCTTTCTCCAGGAGATTAGGCTGTTTAATTTATAATTTTGCCACTACCACATATCTGCAGAGTGGCCTTAGTGAGCTACTCACAAAGCTCCCATTTTCATATCTGAAAAGTAGGGATAATTTAGAAGAGCTGTAAGATCATGGAGAGGGTTGAGTGACAGTCTTTACAAAGAGCTTAGCACCTCACATCATGCTGGAACACAGTGCACACCCAACAATGACTGGAGTCTGTGATCATCATTGCCACCAACACTGTTCACAATTCCGTCAGAGAGAGTCTGCCTGATTATCGGACAATATTATGAGTTAGAATTTTCAGAATCACTGCTGATCTCTGGAGTTCAGACCACTCCATTCCTGTCTGCCTTTGAGACACTCAGCCCTAGAGGGGACTTAGTTTTCCCATCTGAGAAACAGAGGGGCATGGGTGTGGGCACAAGGAGGTGGGAATGACTGAGAGGACTCAGGGAGGAGGAGCCATGTGGAGCTTAGCAAGCCACTCATTTCCAGAAAGACTCCCACCATTAACATGCTGGCAACCTCTAGGCCTGGTGATCTCATGAGGGCTCTGAGTCATCAGACCCCATTGAAGAGGCCAAATTGAGAACGTGCTCCTTGCTTCAGACCCTGCAGGCAAACAAGCCCTCTTATTTTCACCTCCTCTCGCGGTCACTTCTTCACCCCAAATAACATGGGCATGGGTCAGGGATGCCAAAAGGTTCTAGTGAGGAGTTCTCAAGCACTGGTGTTGTGTAAGGTTTGGGAGAACAGACCAAGTTCACAGCGACGCTTCCTAAAACGTAACCAAGCAGCATGTCATTCCTGACCGCGAAGAGGAATGTCAACCCTCATCCTCCAAGTGCAGCTCGGCTGACAGTCCCCATGACTTATTCCTGGCATGTGACGTCAGCATGTGCTTTCTTTGCTCTCCCTCTTTCTAAACTTTACAGACTGGAAAACAGAGTCAGAGCAGACCAGGAAGTTGCTCAGCTCCACAGGGCCAACCTGAGGATTAGATCATATTTCCCAGCTTTTCCTAGATATAGCCAGCTTCTAGAAGTCAGGGAGTTTGAAGAGTGTCCAGTATTTTAATTTAAAAAGAGAAAAGAGATTGGAAATGACACAGGATCATTTTCTTTCTCTCCCTGCCTTTCTTTGTCTCTCTCCGTCTTTGTCACCCTATACTTCAGAAATCTTTAGGAACTTCAAAAACTTTAGGAACAAATTGCCTTGAATGTGGGCAGGGATGCTTCATGTTTTTTACTGGAAGATTGTGGATTTTCTTCCCAGTAGCTGAATTGACATCTCTGTTGGCTTCCTCAGTTGAGAACACCTGTGAGCTGGAGGGTTTGTGTAAGATTATAGCTTTGTCTTCAGGCCTCTCCCCAAATGTAGCAGCAACTCTGGAAGCTGAAGTAATCTCCAACTGTATCATGTGCCACACTGGTGTCAAATATTGTGACTATTGCCCCAACCCCCCAAAAGTGGTGTCATTCTCTTTTCATTCAAGTGGAGAACCCCTCACCCCTACTGTGTAACTGATCCAGACAACAAGCCCCTGCCCTTGGTGGGGTCCTTTCTTTATCTCTGTTTCTTTGGAATTGTGATTTGGGGGTCGGGGGAAGTCAACAAATGAGTCAACAGAAAAAAGAATGCTGATTTTATCAAGAACTGTCTCAGGGGATACCAAAGGAAGGGGAAAAATGGAACACTATTGGCCATTGGCCTGTACACAGGGACCAGACATGACCATTTGGGGACAGTATAAATCTGGCTAATTCTAATTAAAAAAAAAAAAAAAGCAGGGGGAGTGGAACGTACCACCAAAATAAAGAAATGACAGAAAGATACATTGCCAGGGCTGGGGATATAGCTCAGTTGGTAGAGTGCTTAACATTGCATGCACAAGGCCCTGGGTTCAATCCCCAGCACCACAAAAAAAAAAAAAAAAAAAAGAAAGAAAAAAAAAGAAAGATACAGAGCCTGCTCTAGTCCCTTTAGTACCCAAGTGCCTCTCTGCGGGTTGGGTACTAAAGAGGTTCATTGACTATGCAGCCTCATCCCTTTGATTAAGTGTCTAGTATGGAACCAGATAGTAACCTGAAAAGATGAAGTTATCTCCTAAAGACTATCCTATACCCACAAGAGCCTACTCTCTTTTAATAAGGAAGAGAATATTTCTAATTAGAGAACTTAGAAACACATTGTTCTGATTTCCCTAAAGCAGAAACACCTGGTGTTAAACATCTCTTCCCATAACCAAAATTGTAAAGCATCTTCCCAAAACCACTGAGTTGCAGAATTTAAAAAATGCATTTGATAGCCAGATCTACTAATTGGGTCAGTTTTTCAAAGCCCTTTGCTCCCCTGCTTTTCATGGGGGAAGAGGAAAAGGAGGCAGTCAGCAGCTGGTGATTGAAATACAATTCTCTGGCATGTAAATCTTGGCCAACACCAGGGTATTATCCTGGCCAAGGTTTCCTGGTGCTCCCCGACTCCTCGCCAAGGTCTGCCCTTCCTGGTGACTGCCCTAAGGCTGCCCTTCAGTGACTACCTTCTGATGTCCACCCTCTGTATTCCACTGATCATCAGAGTGGTGATCACAGCAGCCTGCATTTCTGGAGCTCTTCATGATTTTTAATCTCATTCTAGAGCCTCAGAAAATTCTGTGAAAGAATTAGGGATATATTATCCCTATGTATAATTACCTCCATTTTACAGGTGAGGAAACTTGGACTCTGCTAATACAAGTAACCTACTACTTAAGGACACAGTGAATTATAGCGATGCTGTATCCTAACCCGCATCCTCTGTCTCAGAGTCTACTGTTCTTTGAACAAATATGTGGGCATAAAAGGCCAGTGAGAAAAGTATTCTGCCAAAAGTAGACTGTCTTTGTCTCCAGAGGTAATAGGGTTGGTATTATTCCATGCAATACTCTGATTTTTAAATGTAATAATAATTAATCTGGTTACCAAAAATGGTGCATTTTTCACCACCAGCATTATAAAGAGACAATTTAAAAAATAAGTACATCAGCTGAGATATATTGTGATATTAATATTATGTATTCTATATTTAATATGCTACCATGTTATAAACTTATATTTTTATGACTAAGTCCAGGAGTCTTCATAATAATGAGTCATAGCCTATTAATATAAATTATTAAGTCAATGTAATGGACTCCTACCAGAATTAATAGAAAAACAGGGCAAAATAGGATGGAATAGAGTTGAAAATATCCACGTACACCACTTGTAGCAAAGTGAGTAGTGTTCTCTGAATCCTTTTGTGCACGTGCTCTGTGTACTGGATCACAACAGGAAAGGCATTTCTTACTGTAGTCCCTCCCTCTTTCTTGCTTTCCTTTTCTCCCATTGTCCTCCCATCTCTTTTCTTCTCTCCATGTATGTAGGAAACATACCCGGATACCCACTACCATCCTGTGCTCATGAGCAGGGCCCACCTGCCTTCCCTTGCCCCACTCCATCTTTCCTCACCCAAGGTTCTAAGGCAGAGACTACTCTCTCACATTCACTCGTACCTTCACGTCAGGATTTGCTATTTCTTGCCTTGTGTAAAAAATAAGTTGATCTCTCTAAGACATCCTGTTTCCATTTTAGGCAAAACAACTTGAACGTGAAGAAATGAAATCCCAGAGGAGAACTACTTTGTGCTTCATGTTTGCTGTGATTTATTCTTCCCAAGCGACACTGAACTTAGAGTCTGCTGTCCATCCTTTGGTGAGTAAACCCATGTCTGCTATAATTTTCCTGTCACATTTCTCTGATTTCGTGGGAATGTCACAGACAGGATAATGGTTCTTCAAAGAAATTGGGAAGGGATTTTGAGAAAATGTTATAAATGAGGTGACAACTGGATGTTAATGGATGTTTGTGTATTTACTGGGCCACATCTTGCCGTATTCTGAAATCGGTGGTGGTATCAAGGGCACATAAGTGCAGCATTAAGACAGATCTTCCAGGGTAGCCATCTTAACTCAGTCATAACCTCTAGGCTTCCACACAGTGACAATGACAATGACAATAAAGCATATTTGGAGGACTGAGCAAGAATATGTCCTAAAAGGATCCCTCTTGAGCATCAGACTAGAACATATTTCAAAAGACATTGATTTACATGCGCGTCATGGTCACAGATTGCTGTAGCTCGAGAGTCCATGGATATCATCTAAGAACTTTGTGACAGTTGCCCAGGTTGTTTGCTTTTGGAAGGTCCACAGAGTTTAGCTTAAGTCAAGGGGGTGACAAGTGCCTCTTACTCCTTATGAGAATTCTTGATTATTCCTTGCTTAGGTTTTTCCCTGCTCCAGAGACAGGGCATGAAACTAGTTGAGAAATCTTGGAAGATTTATAATTCTACATTTCAGTTTCTTCATCTGTAAAATCATGATGGCAGTAGTACTGACTTCCTAGGATAGTTATGAGATTTGAACTAGTTTGAAGAGGCCTTAAATTCAAGCTTGTTACATAATAAACAGCACAGCAGTATTTGCTATTTTTGTGCCTCACACTGGAATACTATATTTTTCTATTGATTCTTTTTGTTTCAGATATTGTAGTTCTATTTTATTCTATCATTATTGTTAGAGTTTCAGTGGTACTTTTTAGCTTTGCAAAATCTGTCTCTTTGTTCTACTTGGCTATTTTTGATTCAATCCTTTGTCTTCTATTCCAGTTGTCAATCCTTCTTCTCTATTTCTGTTTGCCTGGTTTTTGTCCTTTATTTTTTGTTTAGCCTTTAGTGTATTATTCTGCTTTAATGGTTCTCTTATAAAACAAAATATGTTTGAGCTTTTTCTCATTGTTCTTTTATATTGAATTTGAGCAAGTTAGACTTTGATTAGGGGAATATAATCCTTTCACATTTGATATCATATTTTATATGCTTGATCAGGATTTTGTTCCATGATTTTATGTTTTCTTTTCTTCTTTCTGTTTTAGGGTCTTTTATTGTTCAACCTAGTTTTCTTGATCTTTTTTTGCTTTTTTTTTTAACTTGTGACTTTGAGGGTATACATGGGATATCTTCTCTTAGCCTCCAGTATTCATGGTATAATCTGTGCAATGTCATGTGGCAGCTTGCTCATAGAAATAAAGGAGGGAAACTTTATACTTTTGAATTCACAGGGTCAGTGTGGTTATTCAAGGTATGTGGAGAGAAAGTCAGAGCTTACATTGATCTGTGCAACATGGTTAGATTTCTTCTGTTTCAGGATTCTTTTTTCCTCCCTTTTCTTCAAATCTATGTTTATAGTGACAGTCTGAAAAAGTCCCTTCATTGCCTGGTGACACAGGTGCTCAAGGCATACAACCTAACTTCTTAGGGTAGTTGGTGGAATTTGAACTTTGTCTCTCTGGAAAATTCCACTGCTTGCCTACCCCAAAGTCTCCCACTTTTCCATCTAGATCTGCCCTAAAGATACACTGTGTTCATATAACCCAAAGGCTGAGCCCCATTAGAGAGAATCACTTTAGCCTGATTAATTTATACTACAATAAATTGCTGCCCAGTTCCCATAGCTGACTTTTCACTTTCTTAAGTGCAACACCTGGGCTTTTTAAACAACAACAACAAAGCCCACATAAAATACATATGGCAAAACATTTATTATCTTAACCAGTTTTAAATGAACATCTTGGTAGTTTTACATGCATTCACATCATTGCATAGTCAATCTCCATAAATTGTTTCACCTTTCAAAATTGCAACTCCATCCAATGAACAACAACCCTCCCCCTTTCCTCCCCCAGGCCCTGGCAACCACCATTCTACATTCTGTGTTTATGAAATTTGACTACTCTCTACATTAGGTACCATATAAACAGAATCATGCAATATTTTCTCTTTTTGTGTCTGGCTTATTTCACATGGCATAATGTCCTCAAGATTCGTTCCTGTTGCAGCCTATGACAAAAATATCCCTCCTCTTTTAAGACTGGATAAAATTCCCTTGTAAGTCTGTGCCATGTTTTATTCATTCATCATCCACCCATGGCACTTGGGCTGGTTCCATCTCTTGCTTATTGGGAATAAGGCTGCTGGGTTCGAATTGAGGGATGCATTTGTCAAGTGCAACAGTCTAGCCTGCTGCTTCTCCAACTCAAATTCTTCCAGGGGACCTCTTAAGATATAGATTTCAACAGGGTAAGCCCAGAGTGGGGTCAGAGAGGTGCCTGCTCCAGTGACTACCCTCGAAGTAGCAATGTGTTCTATGTGTTCTTCATTGGCAGAAGGTCTGGGTTGAAGCCCAACTCTGACTCCCACCAATTTCTGAGACTTCATTCAGTTTTTTCATCTCTCTGAAGCTAATCATCTGCCGTAAATAAGACTCAACAGTATCTCCCTAAATGGTTTGTTGTGAGGATTAAGCATTGAGACATGTATGCCTTAGCACTGTGACTAGCTCAGAGCCCCAGGGCTTCTGAATTGGTAGTTATTTTTAATATTCTGCTACAAATAAATCCCTATGTTAATATCCTCATATTAATAGGACTGTTACTGAGATAATTGTACAACATGGCAGCAAAGATGTTAACTTGGGATTCCAGGTCAAAAAGAAGAGGAGTGGGTGGTGGACTCTAGGGAGGAGGACTGTGATTTGAAATGCAGGGGCAGGGGCTTGGTGACCTCCTTGTTGGCCATCCTGTTCCCTGGGGATTTTCTTTTTCATGAGTTCAAAGCCACCTCTCATTCCTGACTAATTGCCCACCCTGCTTCAGGCCACCCTGCTCCACCTCCACCACAGTTATTTGGAAAGTCATCATGTCTGAAAGGTGGGGCGCTTCCTGGAATTGGTGACCTTGTCTCTTCCGGCTCAGCCATCAGGAAATCCCCTCCGGATGGACAGAGCTGGCCTCTGTGGCTCAGATCCTCATCTGGGTCCCTCTGCACACAACATGCAGGGTGAGGTGGCAGGGAGCCCTGTTTTCTTGTCTGAAGTAAATATGCAGCTGAGCCTTCTGAGCCTAGGGGGACCTGTTCTCCTTCATGAATGACGTGCGTCTGCACAGATTGTTTTTCATAATGTGAGAAACTAAGGCTTAGAAGAAGTAAATGACTTTTCCAGCTAGTAGGGAGCTGAAGTAGTGAGAATCAGTTCATGGTGTGACTCCAGTACCTTCTGTATTCAAATCCAGGTCCCATGACTGGCAGCCCAGCTCTTTTCACCTTCTCAAATCTGGGACAGTTGGGGTTATTCACCACCACCACCACCTCCTCCTCCAACTCCCTGAGGCTTTACTACTGTCAGGGGTCTTTTCTGCATTAGCTCTGATGACTGCAGGCTTAACTGAAAGAGTAGTTTCTTCTCATGAGAAGCTGTGAATTCTCACTTGACTACAAAAGTGGGAGGTGACAGGGATATAGAAGCAGCACTTTGCAAAGGAAGTTTCAAACATTCTATGTGCTGGAATTGCAGATGATCACCATAAAGACTCAAGAAAGCTTCAAAAGGCAGTGTTTCCCAAAAAAGTGGCCTCACACCTAGGAATATGCTGGTTAAAAGGCCAGTTTTTTCCACCTTCCCTGGACCTATTGAATCAGACTGAGGGAAGAGGAGGCAAGTGATTCTCATTCTTGCCAGGATTTGAAATACCCTGCATTAGAGAACTGAAATGGACCTTGATTGTAACATTCAGCAGACAGCAGCAAGTCCCCCTTGGAAAACAGGGACAATAAAATTTGATCTGGGAAAGCTTCCAAATGTAAGCTCTGAAAGTCATGTTCTCCTGGGCTTGTGAGTCCCCCAACCACAGCCCACAAGTAGCAGACAGAGAAGCTTCCTGGTAGCCACCTGCTCCCTGCCCCCAGTCCCCCAGGAGGATGAAGTCAGGAATGTCCGGAAGAACCTTCCTTCTGCCTGGGCACAGGGCCAGCGCAGGCTCCAGAGGAAGAAAGCAGGAACCAGCCTATACATTGACTTTGCGCCTTCAGTTCCTGCATACTTAAGTACTTCTAAAATAACCTCAGTGCAAAAGAGCAGAAACTGGGCTTTCCAAATTCCAATCATCATCCATCAAGCCTGTATTTATTTCTCCAAGGGCAATTATGAATGTCCAGGTACAGGGTCCCATCCCACTTCCTACTGACTTTAATACTTCCTTCAACCTGAGTCTCCCAAGAGCATAAGGGAGAGGAAAGACAAAACCTCCCACAGAGCTGTGAATGGGCCTTATCTAATAAGTGTAACTTAATAAGGGCAGGGAGAAAAGCCAGGGGAACTATTCATGGAAAAGGAAGAGGAGAGAGGAGGAGGTTGCAGAAGAAGGAGAGAAATTTCCTGCTGAGCCAAGAAAGACTGTCTCATTGAGACAAATCCAGTCTCCTACTATGTAACCAAAGCTACTCTCAGTTCTTTCCATTTAGTAACCATTTGATCTTTTCAACAACCTTATAAAGTAGACCATACTCTTGATTAGGACTGTGGCACAGAGAAGTTAAGGAATATGCCCAAGGTCACAGATCCATTTTATAATGAAGCTAGGCTTGGAACTGAACATCTGCAGAGTTCTTGCTTATAACCACTGTACTAGGTGATAATAACTAAAATGTACTAAGAGCTTACAAATATGCCAAAATGTAGTTTCCTTCATTCTTATAACAATCCTGTGAAAGTTGGCACTATTGTTTCCATTTTAGAGAAAAGAAAGCTGAGGTTCATTGAAGATAAGTAACTTCCCCAAGTTCTGATGGCTAGTAAAGTGGCCCAGCCCTGTGTGCAGGTAGTCTGAGTCTGGAGCAGGCTCTCCTAGTTTTTACCACAAATACCAATAGAATCATCTAAGAGAAAAAGGACTAGAGGAGGAAATCATAGTTCCTAAACTCTCATACAGCAGAAATGTCAAGGTGCGACCAGCCTGGATGCTGAGAAGAGTAATTAGACCTGTCTAATAAGGCAGTGCAATGACTCAGGCTTTAAGTCTTAGGTGGAAGAGCACAAGTTTAGAACATCATCACTTACCTTCCTTGACAGAACTCAAACTGCAGAAACACTGAGAAACTCACTTATGATGATTGATTTCTTTTGCTTTTGGATCTTGAGAATGGTCTATAGAAAGTGCACTCCTAGGTCACACTACAGAGGTGAATTTGTGGTTTTCCTGACCATTCCATTGCTGCTTGTCTGCCTGTCATCCCTGGGTGCATGGTGCTGACCCCAAATCTGCAGCCTTAAGCTCAGCTCAAATACCTAGGGGCACATGAGCAGGAAACCAAGTGAAACGACTTCTTACTGTTAACTGACAACTTTCTAAAACGTTCTTTCAGATTCTCCAAGAACATGAACTAGCTGCTGTAGAACCACTAAGGCAAAAACGAGCAGGTATGTACATTTGGCTCGCATGGTGGTCTCTTTTGTAAGTCCAATCAAATGAAATGTGTTATAACTTTTTAAAAACACTGTGGTCTCCATAATTCAGTCTCTAAGAACATCAGAGTCAAACAGTGCAGTCTGATCGCCAAAAGTACAAAGGAACTCCGTTTTCTACTTGATCAAATGAATAAATGGATCATTGCAACATATTTCGATCCCCTTTCCTCTCTCATCATGTGACCTCTTCCTATCCCCAGGGCCTCCCTGTGGCTCTCTTCAACTGTCCCCCAGCACCACTCAAAAGTCTGTTTCTGTCCTCCCAACCCAGCAACTTCTTCTTCTCATCTTTTAAAAATTTCTCTCGTTCAACCCTTTGTGAACCAACCTAACTAACCACCAGACTTCAGTCTTTCTCCTATTTCCCACTCTAATTTTCCACTAAACTGCAAAGAAGTAGTCTGGAAGTAGTAGTCCTTTGGAGAGTTTGGATTATGGAGAGCTGTAACCACGGACAGAAACACTGATCTTTGTGTCTTAGTCTGTTTTTCTGTAGCTATAAAGAAATATCTGAGACCAGGTAATTCATAAAGAATAGGAGTTTATTGTCTCGTGATTTTGGAGGCTGGCAAGTCTGAGAGCATAGCATCTGGTGGGTAGCTTCCTGTGTGTCATGACAGGGTAGAGGGCATCACATGGTGAGACAGAGGAAGGTGCTAACTTGAGTCTCTGTTGCTCTTCTTAAAAAGCTACTAATGCTATCAGAGGACCCCATACTCATGACCTCATCTAATCCTAATTGTCTCTCAAAGGCCCCACCTTTAAATAACATTAACATCTAAATAGGCAGATTATACTTCCAACACATGAACTTCTGGGGACACATTTGAATCATAGCATTTGGCATCTGGTCCTAAGTGCATGACCCTGCAGAGGGTCATGTGCACATCTACAGGCTGGATTCCTGGGGCCCCGATCTTCCCATCTCCATCAAATAAACTTTTCAGAGAAATGAACCTGTCATTTCTCTCCATAAAGGCCTTTATGAGCTTGGGAGTGACTTAGAGCTAAAAGCCAATCATCTGTTCATAGCTCCTGGGATCTTCTGAAATGCTTTCCCCATTTGATCACCTTCTGTTCCCTTTCACATGGACAGTTGCTGCCTGTCATCTCCATTTGCTTGGCTGGAGGACTCCTGCTTACATCTCAAGTTTCCTGAGCTCCTGCTGGGCGAGACCTTCCATCCACCCATTCCCCAGACTGTCAGGGAAGCTTTCCCTGGATTCTTATCGCCCATGAAACATTTCCTATCTCTGCATCTGCCCCAGCCCATTGTAAAGATTGTACTTCCTGTTTGCCATCCCTAGTAGTTGGGTGCTCCCTTTCATCTTCTTCAGTCTCTGTAGCCTTGGGATCGAGCCTAGTTCCTCCCTTGGTAAATGAGCAAACAAATGAAGAGCTCACATGTGTATGCCCTAGCTATCTCTTTCTGAGTTCCTATTGGTAAATGTCTGCAGGACGAGGGGCGGTGTCTCCTCTCTAGAAGGTGAAACTTCTTAACCTATCCCATTATGATTGAATCATTTTTAGGCATATTGCAACTTGATATATTTAGCTTTGTGTTCCAAAACAGACACAAGAATGCCAAAGAGAGCAGCCTTGCCCTGAGGTCAAAACACAGGTGTCTGTGAGAGCCCTTCACGTGTCAGTAGCCAGACCCAACTGTTGCTCAGGGCTGGAAATGAGAAATGGATCACAGTCTATTAAATCCTCCAAATGCTCACTGGAAAGTCCTAACACTGCTGGGATACCCTCCCTCTTCTCCCCGCCCTGTTCCTTCTCTCCTCCCATCCTCTCCTTCCCTTTCTTTGTCTCCTCTCTGATCCTTTACTTTTCTTTTCCTTCACTTAGCCTTCATTCTGTTTTCCTAGTATAATATGGAGGGTCCTCTCCTTCCCTGAAGTGGCCTATCATAGCTTGAACTTACTGTGCTTTGACACAGATATCATTGCCCCCTTCCCTCTGACAACCCCTTGAGCACTTTTGTACCCTGTGATGGGTACAGAGCCAGAGATGTGCCATTTGGGGTTTTGAAACACTTTTTTTTTCTCAGTGATACAAAGGACTGAACCCAGGGGCACTTTACCACTGAGCCACATCCCCAGTCCTTTTTTATTTGTTATTTTGAGACAGGATCTCACTCAGTTGCTCAGAGTCTCGTTAAATTGCTGAGGCAGGCCTTGAACTTGCAATCTTCTTGCCTTAATCTCCTGAGTTACTAGGATTACAGCTGTGACCCACCACACCTAGCTTGAAAGACTTTTATTATTATTATTAATCAAATTCTTTTAAACAATATTTATTTTTTTAGTTGTAGTTGGACACAATACCTTTTTTTCACTTATTTATTTTTATATGGTGCTGAATGAGGATCAAACCCAGGGTCTCGCACGTGTGAGGCGGGCGCTCTACCACTGAGCCACAACCCCAGCCCCTTAATCAAACTCTTTTGCCGGTGAGCTTCAGCTCTGTCTTTTTACCAAGTTCTTCCAGGGCTCAGGCTGCTGGCATCCTCAGGAGCAGTTTTACCCCACAGCTGCAAAAGGTAATTTTCCCTGTGCTCCTGAGCCTGATGTTTATGGGACCCACGGTGGAAGGGGGAGGGGCAGCCAATGGGGAGGAAACTACCTCCATATCTAAGAATTTGACATTCCAAAACTTTTCCAGGCAGGCTTTCATTACAAAACAATTATGACAATGATAAATCACCCTGAAAATATGTTTTCCATTTATTATACATGGTCCTCTGAGCTCTTGGGCCTCTCAAGTCATTTGGGAAGTGTTAATGAGTCAGCCCATCATCTGCAGAAGATGGATTGGACTTGGTACTTTTACAAAATCACTGAAGTAAGAAATGACCATAGAAAGGCTCATTGCAAGGCCCCCCAAATCAGGAATGTAAGTAGCAATAAAGAGCCTGGCTCCCCAGGTCAGTGACGAAAAGAAAGAACAGGAACGCTTTCTCCAGCAAGATGCCATGTGAAGGTGTCTCTATTTTGGGGGGATGCCAAAAAAGGGAGGTGCTGGGACTGGGCTCTAATCCTGAGTGGCATTCCCTTTCCTGTATATATATACATCTCCCCTTCTGAAGGCTTCAGGATAGTCACAAGTGTATTAAGTTTCCAAGAAAAAGAAAATAGGTCAAGAATTTTCTTTTGAGCTGCTGGACCAAATTTTTAGAGTTTGGGATTAAATCATATTTAAAGGTAGAATAAATTTGTATTTATTTTCAATATAGTATGGACTTCAACCTAAGTCAGTTGCACAGTCTCATTGGCCTCCTAAGATACACACGCATGTATGCACACATACACACACACACACACACACGCACACACACATATCATATATACATCACATATATATGTCACATATATATTATATATTGGCATCTCACACCCACCCACACAATTTATCAGAGTCATAACCTTACAGGGTTTTTTGCTTTAGTTTGTTCATTTTGTTTCGTTTTGGTACTAGGGATTAAACCCAGGGCACTTAACCATTGAGCCACATCCTTAGCCTCCTCTCACTTCCTGCCTTTTTTTTTTTTTAACAGGGTCTCCCTAAGTTGCTAAGAGCCTCACTAAGTTGCTGAGGCTGGCTTTGAACTTTCTATTCTCTTGCCCCAGCCTCTCAGGCTGCTGGGATTACAGATGTGCCACTGTGCCCAGCTCTTTATACAGTTGTTGAGAGGATTAAATGATGTTATTTTGTACATACTACTTTGGAAATGTTAATAGAATTATCTGGGGTTTATTTTATTCTTTTTAATAGTTTTTTTTTAATTAAAAACAAAGTCAATAGGTGGGGCCTAGCACAGAGGGATATCCTGATCAGTCCCAGATCACTACCTGAATGTGGAAAAATGGGTGCCATGACACAGGACATAGCATTTTGGGAAAACTCTTTCCCAGTGCTACTGGGAGTAGAAACGTGCATACAAACCCAGAAACCAGAGATAAGAATAAGTGTGGAACAGCCTGTGAGAGCAGTGTGGCTGGTGGGGGCAGAGGGACAAGCATGTGTGGAAGCCTGAAGAGCTACATCAGCAAGTGCATCCTTGCTGGCCGAGAGGCTGGCATAGAGAGTGACTGATAAAAGCCACACGATTCCAGTGATTATGGATGGATTAGATGAAGAAATTATTGCCTGAGAGACCAACTAGGAGATTCAGCAGCCTGGACATGGGTCCGTGGCTGTGGAGAAAGATAAAAAAGAAACAGAGGATACACCTGCCTAAGACCATTTGAGAAATGGAGCCAAAGGGCTGGAGTCAAACGTGACTGGCTGGGGGTAAAGGTGAGCAATGGTCCAGATGACTGTCCAGGAGAGCACAAATCTGGGACCCTGTGTGCCGAGGAGGCAACAGGGAGAGGCCTGCATTGGAAGGAAAGGCTTACTTAAGTAGAGGTCTGCAGAAAAGCTCAGAATTAAGTCTAAAGGGGAATCTTCACAGTGGACTGAAAGTGGGCATTTCTTACTGCTTAGCACTAGCACAAATGTCAGTTGCAAAAGTTCTTCACCCTGGGTCTCGGAGCTTCGTTGGGAAGCACGTCTCAGAGACTGGCCCTGAAGAGACCCCATTGGTTTTTCTTTGGCTTCCCAAGGAATGGCTGGTGGGAAACAGAGGGCAAGGGTGAGGGGAGTCCAGCTTGGGGGGGCGGGAAGCAGGATGCCCAGAGCCTGTACTGGCTGGGTGACACTTCTTCACCTTTCAGTCAGAGCCAGGTCCCTACAAGATCAGGTCACCAGCTGCCCATACGGAAATCCTGACTTTTCAGTAGACCTGGCAGTGCGAGTCTGCTGGCCCTTTTTGATGTGGGGCCAGGAAATGCTGAGCATTTCCCAGTTTGAGGAACAGGGTTTGGGTTTCTGTGGCTGTCATCTTTCCTGTGATAACATATGGTGCTCTATGCTCTGGTGGAAGAATGAGTTGGAAGGCTCTGGGCTCTCTGACTAGTGCGTGTGTTGGTTTGGAGCTTGACATTGAATATTAAGACTGTTTTATAACTTCCCATTCTTGTGGTTGTACATGAAGTGGAGTTACATTGGTCGTGTATTCACATATGAACATAGGAAAGTTCTGTCTGATTCATTCTACTCTTTCCTACTCCCATCCCCACTCCCCTTCATTCCTCTGTCTAATCCAAAGAATTTCAATTCTTTCCCCCCCTTATTGTGTGTTAGTAGGACTCCAATTCCTTAACAACATCCTGTTGAGAAAATGTTACCCTGAACTTACAGATGAACAAAGTTTAGCTCACAGAATTTAAACAAGTGGCCCAGGAAAGAAGACCTTCCATTCTGTTCTCTGAAGCTCCAAAGTACAGGGTCAAAGTGGAAAGTCACAGTTTTCAACATGTGGTTCTGGTCTTGCCAATGCGGTCCCATTTCATGACTCTTAGGGCAGCTTGGTAGAGTAAAAAGGCCTCACAGACCTGTTCCAACTCACTAGGTCTGTCTCATCTCACTTTATGTGGGGCTAACTTGGATGTTTGGGGTTCATGGTTAGCTGGTAGACTTGATCATCAGCTCCAGACTTCACATTCCAGGGTTCTATGATGCACGTTGCCAACCTACTCCTCTATCCACACCTGCTAGGTAAACCATAGACTGAAATTCTGGCATTTCCTTCTTGTGTGAACAAATCTTTCTAAAACCCAAAAGAGAATAGATGCTTTGTATCTGCCAGTGGCAAGGTGTGATATAGACAACTGCAGTCAAATCACCACCTTCTATCAGGATAAAGAAGCATTGTCCCTTTGGTCACCAAGCTCCTTTCTCTAGGGTGAAGTCAGCAAGCTTCCTTCATCGGCAGGTAGGAGATTAATTTATGCATCTGCTGAGGCTCTGATTCTGAGAAGCCACTGTTCCCACCAGCGTTGCTAGGCAAAAGTAGTATTGTTTGCTTAAACAGCTGTGATTAAGACACAGAACTGCTTGTTGCCCTTTGTGGCCAATTTTCCAGAAATGTCTCTTTAAGATAAGTGGTGTGAGGTTGGCAGTGACTTATGGGAAAGGAGAGGGGAAATCCTGGTAGGTTTGTGCCTCCTGGGCTTGTGATACGCCTATGTCTGTGGCTGCTGACCCCTGGGATTGGCTGCCTTCCACTGAAGGGCATTGGTGAGCCAGAAAAAGTCAGACAAACAACACAGGGGGCAAAGGAGACTGAGGGAAAACACACACACACACAACTGTCAGCAGCAGCAGAGGAGGGTGGAGGGCATCTAACAGACACAGGCAGAAGTGGGGGAGCTGTTCTCTGTCCCTCTTGGGTCCTTTGCAGCCTGGAACAGGACACGGAGTATCACTTTTCCAGGCTTGAAAGTTCCTGAGTTGAAAAAGCAGAGGAAAGCAGGGGCTGGCATTTGTAACCTATGTTTCTGGGCCTGTTTGAGGGGACTGAGACAGTGTGCTGCTGACCCCCTCCCACATGGGTCATGCTGACCCCTCAGCATTGGGGCTAACTCCTACACATACAGGTGGTCCTCCTGGGTCCTTGATGCTGTTCTAAGGTCTAAAGGTGATAAGAAGGAATGACCCAAAGAGGAAGCATGTCTTCTTTAGCCCTCAAATGAGCCTAGAGTGTTGCCACTCAGGACTTTCCTGCTCCTTTGCCCTTCTGAGAGTGATGTTCTCCCAATGGCTTTCAGGTTCACCGCTCACTTTGAGTCTCTATTCAAGTTTACTACTTTAGGAAGGTCTTTTCTGCTCATGCTACAAAAATGAACTCCCCACCCCATGATCCCTATCATTCTGTCTGTTTGTTCTTCCTTATTTTTCTCCTACAGAGCTGCCTGATGTAAGAATGCAAACTTAATCATTGGCCCCAGCATAAGAATGAGAGATTCATGAAGTCAGGACTTTGCGTCTTTGACTAACACAATGCTCCCAGCACCTAGCACAGTGCCAGGAAATGGACACCTAAGAAGTAGAATAACTACATATAAATCAATAAATCAAGGAACAAACAAACTAACCTGGCAAGACTTACTGACAAAATCCACGTGCACTGATAACAGTGGGTCATGATACTTTTCTCCTGACTGTGGATTTCTAGATTTATTACGGTCAAAAAACATGAACAAAATTTTTCATGGTTCATCCATTTATTATGAATAATTTTAGTTTTTGAGCTTGATTTTATTTAATGACTTACTTTAGGAATTCTTAATTTCCTTTAAGGCTATATTTAACAATGATATCTTATATTTTTATGCTACTTTGGACTTTACACAATGATTAGGTTTGTTATCTCTTCATTGTGGTAGGTTATGATTGAAAGAAAACAGACTTAGGATTCAGAAAATTGTGCTTGCAAATCCCAGCTCTCCCACTCATTACTCTGTGCCTTCAACTCTGTGAACCTGCAACATGGAAGTGTATGCATACTGTCCTTGTGGCCCCAGAGACTGCTGGGTGATGAACAGATGGCACCTGTTATTGTCATTGTTACTGTTATTGTCATTGCCTTTGATTTGCCCAGTATCATTGGGTGATGGGAAGGATAAGTAGGTATCAGCTCCCTTCAGGCACAAGAGGGCTGCACAGGGCCCAGGAATTGATAATGTGCTGAGATGCGACTCTGCGATGCAGCCATGTAGATAGATGATGAAGAGTGTGATAAGGAATTGTTACTGACCCCACCCATCCCAAACAGCCACTGTCCAGGAAATCCTGTTTATACCCACAGAAGGACAGGCTTCAGCAAAGAGGATCCTGAAGCTAGTGAGGGATAAACATCACTGCATTACTTTTTATGAAAAAGAATGTGCTCCAAGGCAAGCTTTGTAAATATCAGGCAGCTTCCCTCCTTGCAGATGTTCCCAGTGGGCAACATAATGTGACCAGGGTTAAACTCACAAATTATGATTAGCAGTTCTTCCAGGAAGCTTACTTTCATTACAGAACCATCTGAACCTCCAGAAGAAAACAGGAATTGGAGGCAATGCTGAAGTATCCCAACAGACTGAGATTCTGTATTGTTTTAAAACGTATAATCCATCTTTATAAGTATACAAATATATCATAAAATGCATTCCTACAACATCTATCTGCACAGACCTTTTCTATAGTTTGAGTTAATTACAGAGATTTCAGTGATGCCCAAGGAAATAATACTCAACAAAGTCAATGGGTAAAAACCAACCTCCTAGGACAAACATAGTTTACAACTCAAGGGAATAAATAAGGCAGAACAAATAATGCAGCTTTCTGCAATAAACATTTAACAACTGGAGTTTCCCATAATAAACTTTCTCATAGTGTTTCACGTCAATAGTCCTGAGACTATTCAAAACAAATCTTACAAAGTTATGGGAAAAAAATGTTATCTTTTAGAAAGGAGATATCAAATTTTAATTTTATGGCAAAATACATACCATGCTTTCAGATTTGATGTAAATTTGAAAGTAATAATTTTGCAAGTAGCTACTGCTGCCCCCATCTCATTTTAAAATATTCTCAATGCATGTGTGTGAAACAGTCTTATTCTTTGGACTTTCTTTATAAACTACAAGCTGAGCCCATAGCTTCTGTTTAGTTATATATTATAGCCAAGACAGGGTCAAAGATTTTCTTGGTGACAGAGAGGTGAGTCTATGAGTAGATTCAGAGAAGCAGACTTCATAAGAATTGGGCGTGTATCCATTAGCTGGTGAACTCCAGACCCTTTTGGTGAGTAAGGTCATGAGAAGTGGAGGAAACAGTTCCTGCCCTTGGGAAGCTTACCACTAATGACTGAGACATGATGTAATATAGGAAACCAACAAAGAACTATTCTAAGATTATACATTGTATACGTAGTCTGTCCAGCCTGGAGTGGGTGTGTGTTGGGGAGCAGATCCCTTTAGAATGCCAGCAGACAACTACCTGGAGACAATTCTGGGAAGCAATGAAGAACTAGAAATCTCTTTTCTTTTACTTTTCCAATTTGCCAGATTTTTGTCAATTGTGTTCTGGACATTGGAGATATACAAAGGAAGAACAAAGAGCAGATGTTCTGTGTGCATAGCTAAGGGCAAAAGAAGTTAGCAAGGTGACCTTTCCCAGAGGTCTTCATGCATGGTTCAGCTCTTAGAATGTGTGTATGTCAACTGAAAGGTGTGGGAAACACACTGGCTCACTCCCGCAGGTCAGGATGGTGACTTTCATTGTCTAAACTGTTGCCAGAGTCTCCCTGCTGGTTCTTCCTGCTTCCATTCTTGCCCGTCATGGTTCACTCTCCACACAATGCTCCTTGACCTTGGACACCAAGATCCAGAGTTAGTAGAAAGTAGACAAACTCATCTTTTTCTCTTAGTGGGTTCATTAGAAATTCTCATGGGCTGATGTGCCCAGCATCCATACACACCTTTAACTGATCTGTCATGATTTCTCTCCATGTCCGTGGGAGGTCCTCACAACCTTTGTGTGCTTGCATTTCAGTTGCCACGAGTGGTCCTGCCATGGAAGAGTACACTGTTGATATTGAGATCAGTTTTGAAAACACATCCTTCGTGGAGTCTATCAGAGCTCGCTTGAACAGCCTCAGTTTTCCAATCCAAGGAAACAACACTGACCCAGCTACTGATATTTTAAGCATAGAGCTGACAACTGGTGAGTAAGACACCCAAAGCTTTAGAATGGATGGTTGGGTGGATCAGAAGAAAAGCTAACTGGGTCCTTATTGTTAGGGCATGTTATACTTAGTAGGCAAGGGAAATGACTCAACAGGTCTACTGGTGTGATTTTATGACTTCACAGCCTCCCAGGATAAACTCCTATCAGTAAACTCTGCAGCCAGAGTTTCCTTCTTTGAAGTGGTTTGCTTGGTAGTCTCTCTGATGGTTGCCGTGAAGTTCCAAGATATGACTAGATCCTTCATGATAAACTATTGGACCCTCTGCCCCAGGCCAATCAATGGGTATAGCAAGGACTGGTTCAGGATATTAATAAGTATCAAATTCCTTTCTTTTTGGAATCCTAGGTCAGGAAATAGGAGCCAGACACATATCTGGATCAGAAGCAAGGAATTAAGCAGAACCTCTCAGGCCTTGGATTAGTTCCTGACTCACTTCCAAAGTCATGCCATCTCCTTTGTGTCTCAGGGAACCATCACCAGAGACTTAGTGTCCCAAAGGGGCCATGAGATGAGGCTGCCCATTGTCCTAAAAATGTTACTGCTCTGTAAACTGGAAAGCACTAACAGATGTTGGGTTTTATTATTCTAAAATGAAGACAAGAATAAAATTCTTATTTTTCAATTCTCATTTTTATGTCAGTTCCCATAAAGGTCTTTCTTTTTTCATTTTTGATTCTAAGTATATGCTAACGGAATCTGACATAGCTCCCTTAAAGCCGCTTTGAATACTATGTTTCAACAAATTCTACCATGGAATTAATTTCCTTGAGTTAGTGGTTTTCTGGATTGGATGTCAATATGTGGGTCCTCCAGCAATGATGAGTTTATTCTATTTCCCAAATGAATTTGTGCACAGAGTTCTTTCTCTATAGAATAGCTCATAAAACTCTTTGGGACATATTATAGGAAACACCCCTCTGTGTTCTTGCTCAACACAGATTCTCTGCCTCTGAAATTATTTTTTCTATTTATAGGAAAAAAAATTAAATACTGGATAGATTTTTAAACACTTTTGTTTTTCTTCCCAACTTTTTATGAAAACCTTTGGTGTCTGTAGTGCTATAAAGCAAATTTTGTAAATAAAATAGACCAGTAGATATCCAATAAATAAGTGATTTTTAATCGAATACCTTGTGATCATGGACACTTGGTCAGTAGGTTAGTTCATATCACATGTGCTCAATATAAACATATGAGCAAACTGTCTCACAATTCTTTTATTCTATTAGAGCTGATGTGACTTCAAAGGACTTTATAATTTAAACAATTTTGGAAACTTGAATTAACAAGTTTCCCTTTTAAAATGCAATTGCCCTTGTAAAGTGTAATCTTTCTTTCCAGAAAGACTGGTCATGCACACATTAAAGGGTGAATTCTTTCTGATATCTAACTGTGAAGGAGATCTGAAAAAAAAAATGCTTCAGCTAGACACGATGGCACACGCCTGTAATCCCACTGACTTGGGAGGCTGAGACAGGAGGATTGCCAAGTTCAAAGCCAGCTTCAGCAAAAGTGAGGTGCTAAGAAACTCAGTGGGACCTTGTCTCTAAATAAAATAAAAAATAGGGCTGAGGATGTGGCTCAGTGGTCGTATGCTGCTGAGTTCAATCCCCAGTACAAAAAACAAACAAAAAAACAAAAAAACAAACAACAACAACAAAAAAACAACCATGGTTCAATAGAGCAGAAAGAGCCTGAGACTCATGAACCTCAGGACCAGCAGAGAACAGCCAAGGAGAGTTCTCCTCAAAGGGAATGGGGAGAGTGTGTGATTCGGGTCAGGCTTGTGCTACTGATTTCTGAGAACCATTGTCCTCTTCCCATACAATGTCTTTCCTTATGATCCTTTCCAGAAATTCAGTTTTATTAATAGTGAATAACTGAAGATGTTTAAGGCTATACAGTGTGTGTAAAGCAACTAAACAACACCTAGAATAGTAGTAGTTGGTTTGGAAATGACAGCTTTGTCTTTCCCCCAAACCATGATTGCATTGTACACAGGTATCTAAAGTCTTTCAAGTATTTCTCCTCATCCCTTTTCTTCCCCAAAATAAAAAACAACACTTTAGCAGTGAAATTTCAGGACAACAAGAGATTTTGAGAAAGAGATTCTTTTTGGTTCTCTTCAAATTACCCCCATCCATTGTCTGCCAACCACATATAATTTCTTCTGTACCTAACACTTCTGCCAACTCCAACCTACTTCTGGGAGACAGGATTGTCAAGGAATAATTGGAACTTGCCTGTCCTTCCAATTTCAGAAATGACTATTTGACAGCTTTCATTTGCATAGGATTTGGCCAGGTTATCCTTTGCAGAATGGACAGCTTCCAATGAGAGGACTTTGGACCAGCTTTACAAACCGAGTTAAAAGCACTCTGTTTTCACAGAATTTTTGATGTTCCCGCTGAGATCAGAGTCCATTTGGCCTGTTCACACTTGAATGTAAAAGGCTCAAATTTATTTGCCTTCTGTATCTGTTATCTGCTGCTGCATAACAAGTTACCCTAAACCTTAGCATTGTAAACCAACAGAACTAGTTATCTTGAAGTTTCTGACAGAAATTGGGAGCAGCTTAGTTGGATGCTTCTGATTCAAGGTCTCTCATGAGGTTGTAATTGAGCTGTCAGCTAGAGTTGAAGTCATCTGGAACTAGAAAATCCACTTCCAAGCTCACTCCTGTGGTTGCTGGCAGCCTGTAGTTCCTTACTACCTGTCAGCTAAAGATCTCAGTTCCTTACGACCTTGGACCTCTTCATGACATGTCTTCATGCCATGGTAGCCAACTTCCCCCAGGAAAATGGAGAGAGAGAAACAGAGAGGAACAAGCCAGAGGAAATCTGGAGTCTTTAATATCCTAATTTCAGAAGCTCCATACCATCATTTCTATCATATTCCATTGGTCACATGGGGCCACCCTTGTACAGTAGAAGAGAGCACTGGAAAAGAGTGTGAATACCCAAAGGCAGGGGTGGACAGGGGCCTTCTTGGAGGCTGGCTCCCACCGACTATGTCCTGGAATCTGTTTATCATCGTAGACATCTGGTGGTCATTTGCTATTAGGCAAGACCCACCAGAAGATGACTCTACAGTCATCAGTTACTCGACAGTCACTCAATAATTTCAGCTCCATCCTTCTGGTGGTCATGCCTGATGGCATTGTAGGGCATATGTGCGTTCAGGAACTTGTGCAATCCTATGGAATTTCCCAGAAGAGCGATATGAAGTCAAGTTAGGATTTCCTACAAGTACACATACTTGCAGTCTATAAATGCAAATGTGGTGACTACCTTCTCTGTCCTCCTCTTCCTGTTGATGATAGTATGCAGGCCCACTGGAAATGAGATCTGGTGCTCCTGCGAGACAGGCTATGGGTGGCCTCAGGAAAGGTGCCTCCACAGTCCCACTTGTCAAGAGCAAGGCAGCTCTCTCCCAGGGCACCGTTGCAGTTGCCTTAGGGGACTTCCTTCAAAGGGACCTTTCTGCCAGCTCCAGGAAGGTAAGTACCTTCTCATGAATATTGTTTGAGTGATTCAACTTCAGCGGAGGCAGATGTTTCTCTGTATTCAAACATCAACATGAGATTTTTCAAGTATTGCTCTGTGTTGTTCAGCAGATGTTACCTTGAGAATGAAGGTCAGACTAAATGTGGAATTTCCAGAAGACCTTAAGAACACATCCTCTGCCCTCTATAGGTCCTACAAGACCGACTTGGAAAGAGCGGTACGTTTTGGCCCCAGGAAACTCTTAAACCAACAAAGTGTGTGTGCAGAACTGAGTTCATGTTATTCATAGTAGACAGTCATCTGTGATATGAATTAGAAGTATTTCATATCCATCTTGGATGGCGAATTAAAAAGTATTTGAATCAGTGTTCAGGAGACATTGTGGTCAAGAAATCAGCTTAACCTATAAGTAGAACTTCTTCTCAGGGTGGATGTGATTCAGATAAGATTTGGTGGCATTGATTCACTAAAATCTATTCAGAGGCCCTGGTCTAGAAACATCAATTGTTTCATTTCTATTCTTCACACACCACATGTATAAGAATCCTAACATCTGGTGAGCAGACCAACCTCAGACCAAGCTCAAACTGCTTCAAGCTTCTCTATGCTACAGGTCATTAGGCACTCATACAAAAGACAATTTAAATTTAATCATGTAAACAAGGATATATCTGTGAATGCTAATCCACTGCCAGATGCTCTTCTAAAGTGCTTTGCACTAGATCAACTGTAAAACCTTAATGCTATTTCTGAGTTAAACTCACTTGAAACAGCTTCCCAACTGGTGTAGTGCAGATTATTCAGGTGGCCTGAGGTAATGACTTTCCATCACTCTCAGGGCAGCCAAATCCCTGCTTGGGGCTGGAAGCAGCCTCTTGCCTCACCCAGTGGGCCATATAAATATTGTCATTTTCCCTGGGTGCCATGATGGAGTGCTTACCCAGAAGAACTCTTGGACCTCTGATTTGCATATCTGGCATGTCATAATTCTACATAGAAGGAAGCCCTCTTCTCATATACCAAAGTGAGGGTTACATGCTAACCTTTGGATCTCATCCACACAGGTACCCTACATTCCTACCATGTAACTTCTTTGTATATGGTAGCTGCCTGTAAATTTAATTTGGGTCAAATAGAATCTCCTGTGGGGTTGGTGTTTTGAGGAACAACATGGGATAAAAACATCATCAAAAGCTATATGAGCTCCACCAGTGTAGCAATATCATCAAATGAGGAGCAGGTACTGAGGTGGTCTCCCATATGTCCCTTCTGGACCTTCAGCTGCGTGGGGATGTGGTTGAATCCCAAGTGCTCTCTCTGGTACCCTTGATGGCATTTGCTTCTTCTTAATGATGAATGAGCCCAGTGACCTGTGTCAGATACAGAGACTCCTTAGAAGGACTTATTTGGGCTTCCCTGGCTTAGCCTAGGATGGTTTTATTTAGCCTTCCTTATCTCTTCCACATAGGAACCAATGGCTCTCCCTGCCTTCCCCACTCCCCATCATTTTCTTTCCTGGGCATCTGTCTGAGCAATTTTTTTTTCACATTTAATCTTGTGTCTATTTCTCCAAGAACCCAGACTGACATAAGTGATCAGGAAATACTTTCTTAAGGATCCACTAATGCCAAAATATAAAGAAGAAAATTTTACCCAGGGTGATAAGCAACATGGGCTTTCTACTCGATTTGAAATCTTTTGTATCTCACATCAACTTCTAAAACATGATACTCATCTTGCCTTATTTTCCAGTTCCAGGAGGGTTACAGAATTTTACCAGGCTTCAAATCGGTGATGGTGACAGAGTTCACGTAAGAGTGCTATACTTTGTTCATTTCTATTTGATGGCAGAGATCAGCATGTCAGTGAGGGAGGAAAGAAAACCATTAGTGAGCATCATGTGGAATGCTTAGCAAGAACAGTTTGTTAGACATGAAGACAAAAGCCAGATTATAGGGGTTAAAAGGGAAAGGAGAGACACTGAGAAGAGTCCTCACCCCTTACAGATACACCTATATAAAAGTAAGGACAGAAAAAGATATGGACACTCTATGTGTGCAAGCATTTTGCAAAGAGATAAATTTTCAGTCTAGAGAGTTTAGAAATTTAAAAATAAAATAATGTTATATACCAATGCCTTTATGCAAGAAAATTCTTGCCAGTCAGTCAGGACCCCAGAGTTGCATGCTTGTTCCCCTTGGAGTTGGGTACCCTGTAGCCTTGAGTGGATTTTCACACTATTTTGAGGACTTAGTTGCAAATCTTAAAAAATCAGGAATCTATATGGGAACATCCAGGGTTTGGACTTCATTAACATTCCATGTATCTGGTAAGGCCAAACTCCCTGTGTGACAGCCATCAGCAGGTTTTGCTTGGTGGCTGGCTCCCATGACCAGGGGGTGGGACTCTGTTCATTAATTCCCACCTGCAAGTTTTTTCACCTGTCTTACCTGTTTGCAGACTTTTGGGTATGCAAGCTCTGCCTAGGGTTTTTTCATCCAGAGTTTGAAGATAGGTTTCTTTTGGTGATTTCCTGAGCATAATAGCCCCCAGGTGGTTCCTGCTATTTGTTTTCCCATGCAAATAAATCACAAACATCTAGATTCTTCCAGGTGAATTGCTGCTTTACTAAACTGAGTGTCTCTATTCAGCAAGGGCAGTGTGACTGTGTCATATGAAATCCAGAGTAAAACACCACCACCTGGATTAATTCAGAAAGCCAACGAGCAAGTCATACAGACTCTTAATCAGACCTACAAAATGGACTACAGTTCCTTTCAAGGGGTGCCTAGTAGTAAGTGAAACCTTGCTACATTTTCCCATCTGTAGATTCTATCTAGATGGTAATGGTGTTGATGGTTATGCTTAAACCTTGAAAATCATTATGCTATATTCTGTGGAGAAAGACTTTCCGGTTCCTGGCACATAGGATTATGTGCCATCTCCCGCTCTCTGATCAATGCTTCTCAACTTGGCTTGTGTCACTGCATTGGGATATAGGGGAGAGGGGAGCAGGGAACTTACAACAGGGTCATCTATTTTAAGAAGAAACCTTGGGAAAGAAGCCTTCTAATGTAGCAAGAAGTTCGAGAGCCACTGCTTTACATTATGTGGTGGTAAATTGTTTTTTTTTTGTTGTTGTTTGTTTTGTTTTGTTTTAGATGTTCTCCCCACTTTACAAATGGGGTTCAAAGTTGGGCTTTGGTGTGTCTGAAGGACACAGAACCTATTGTTAGTTGGCAGCTAGTAAGTGAACCCATGAGAGCAAGATGAACATATGAGTCGGCCAGCAGATGTTCTGCATAACTCAGGTCTGCAGTCTGGAGCAAAGGCAATAGCTCTTGGGAATCTAGTATGGGGGCGGATACTGACAGGATGGTGTAGGCACAAACAAAGGAAAAGGCCTCTTGGTCAGGAGTCAGGTCAGCTTCACAGAAAGTTTATATCCTATGTTTAGGTTCTCTGCACATACTTTCAAACATGACATCATTTTTTAACATAAAATATTCTAAGTGATAAAACTAGCTAAGGAAAGTATGAGAAATATGTATAATGGTAGAATGTACTATAAGATAAATAGTGAAAATGAAAATTCAGATTAAATAAGACAGTAAAACATAAATAAAAATCAGAAAATTAAAGAAAAGAGAATAAATATCCTGGAAATCTGGCTCACATAGATGCATCTCAGCAATACCACCCTCCCCTGACCGTAACACCAACTGGCCAACAAACAGATGTGCTTTCTCTGCCCTGAAGAGTTCCTTTTGTTCATCATCCCAAGGGCTCAGGAGAGTAGCAGATTTTTGCATAGTTAAATTGCAGGTGTGATTTCTCTTTCCCCAAAATTGCAGTCATGTGGAGGATAGGCAGCCATATAAATGAATCAGTGCCCAGGTTTTAGTGGTTGGACTCACTGTCCATCTGGCCCATGCTGCTGATAGTCCAGTTCATGTGGTACATTTGCATCCATGACTTCCAAAGAGCAATGGAGTCATTGAAAATGGCACTAAACATCCTCTCACCCCTACACAGAGTCTATATCCATCTCTGTCCTCCCTCAAAGACCAGAGCCGGATTCTGTGATATGCAGAGCCTAGAGCAATAAACATGAACTGGTAGCACACTCAATTCCACAGGGAACTCAGATGCCCTCCTCCTCTCCACAGTGTAGGTAGTGTTAATCCAGAACACAGACATCCCAAAACTCATGTTACTGGATGAAAATTTTCTCCTCCTCCTCCCCCTTTCCCCTCCCCCTCCCTCTTCGACCTCCCTCTTTCCTCTCCCTCCTCCTCCTCCTCCTCCTCCTATTCTTCTTCTTCTTCTGATGATGATGATGATGATGATGTGGGCATGAGTAGGAGAGATAGAGGGCAAGAAAGAAGAATGTTGAATGAATGAGTTGGTATCAGGAACTTAGTTTTAAATCCATCTTCACAAGATGCAAAAGGTACATGGCAGTCTTTAGAATAGATCCATTTACTTTGTCATACATTAATCCTCTGGTGATACTTTATTAAACAACAGCACACTTGTTCTTAATTATTCCTGCTAAATTTATATTAAAGTCCATTTAACCATATAATATTGGAAGTTCCATGAATTTTACTTATTAACCATAATCGTAATGAAAACAAGGACATTTACCACATCTTTTTCTATTAATTCCAGAGTAGTTACTTCTATTTCATATTCACACGTCCTGTGAGATAGATGTCATTACTCCCATTTACAGATGAGGAACTGGAGGTCGATGGAGGGTGAATGACTCACCCAAGGACACATAGCCAATACCTCAAGTTTGTATGACTTCAAAGCTAGTGTACTACATTAAATACTCACAGATGGTTTTGCTTCCCAATAGTTAAATGAGATTTTAGAAAAGAAATCTGATTTTAACCAGTGGTCTTAAAGAAGTGGTAAGATACTAATATTTTGACTAGAACATCATACTACCCAAAATTAATTTTATGGTGACTTATTCCCATATTTATTATCTATAGAGGATCTTTCCTGGGCTTCAAGCCCCACTCCTCTGGTTTTCTCAATACATATAAGTCATGTTATATAAGCAAAGGGCATCCATAAAAATGGATACAAAGATAACCAACATGGTATTTTTATATGTGTAATGACAATACAGTGATTTTCTGGAACTTACTGCCATCACAATAATAATAGCTGCTGATTTCCTAAGTCCCCTCCCAAAGTGACTCTTACTGTTCTCATTTTCCAGAAAACAGAGCTGAGGTTGGGTGAGGCCAAGCAGGTTCCTCAGGTCCACCCAGCTGCAGGTGGGACAAAATCCGAGTCTAAATGCACACCTGTCTACCTACTAAGTTCTCATACTTAAGGGTCTATGGGGATAAGACCTTGAAAAACTTCTTTGTTCCCAGGAAAGTTTTATTTATTATCAATAACAAGTTTATCTTCCCATTTGTAGCTCATTATACACTTAGAGCTTTCAGTGGGCACAAGATATGAGTAATTGGTGAGAAGCAGTTGATATTATTCCAGTCAGTAGCAAAGAAACCCCATGCTTATCAGCTTGGGTGACTTTTTCATAAATAAATGCACTATTTTCTACCAGATTTTTGAAATATTGAAAACAGCTTTGGGATCCCATTACTACCATTAGGAACTCCTGAGTGACCTTATGACATGTGTTACGTAGGCCCCAAACTAGAAGCTCTGCCCCTAGTACCTAGCAGGCTATAGCTCTGGGAGTCTTGGAGGCAGTTTGGGGAGTGGAGTGAGGAGCCATGTGGCCCCACCCTGAGCAGCATCCCAGGAGCTCAGGAGACTTCTTAAGATTTCCCAGCAGGGGTGGCACCTGGATTCCATTAAATTTATTTGCTCTAGGATCCTAACACCTTTTCTTTGAATTTCCAGATGAAACTAAGTTCACTGTTGTACCAGAAATCATCTTTGAAGGGGACACAGTAACCCTGGAATGTGAAAATGAAGTTTTGTCCTCCAATGTGTCTTGGTACCGGGGAGAAAGACACATCCAGAACAGCAGCAGATTCTCCATCTACACCTCGATGCCCAACAACATAACCTCAGTATCACGCCTCACCATCCACAACATCACTCAGGGTGACGCGGGTGAGTCTTCCTCAGTGTTTTGTTCGAGAAAAGGAACAGAATGCTCTTAAAGGAGCAAACCCTATATTGTGTTAGCAGTGCTGCTCTCTTCAAAAGGATGTATTCAGGCTCAATACTTCAAAATTGAAAATTTATCCTGTGATCTTAAATTATTTTCTAAATTAATTAATGTATTGTCATTTTTTACTATGCTGTATGTTCTTATTCTTTTTCAATTAAATTCTAAAAAAAATTAAAGTAGCTTAATTAAGGTAGAATTGATGTGTAATAAACTGCACATATTTAAAGTTCTTTAAGTTTTGACCTATGTACACCTGGGAAACCATCATTAGAATCAAGATAGTGAACCCCCAGCATCTATCACCCCCAGCCCCAGATTTTCCTGTCCTCTGCAGTAATCTGTCCCTTTGGCCTGTCCCCACCATCCTGTCTCCCCAGCCCCGAGCAGCCATAGGAGCGTAAGTCTTAATTTTTTATTTTCATCCAGATATCAACAAGATCATCTCTATTTCTCTGCATTAAAAGGTAGGCTGTTGACACATGGGGTATATCACATCTTGGCCAATTCTGATTTTACCAGAGGGTTAAATAAGATGTCAAAATTTTCTATCTTCTAAGTCTCCAAAGCTTTCCAAAAATTTTTCCCCTCCCGTTTCCAGTCTTATTTCTTACTAGCAAAATCCATGAGACTGCTACAATCAGAACAACTCTCTACTGTGTACCTGTGGCATCAGAAATATCTGCATTGATCCTCAGCATTTCCCAAATGTTTCTTAAGGAGCATTTAAACCAAGTCTCAGGTGCTTTGAAAATAAGGCCTCCTGATGTAATGCCATGCTGCATGAGACAAGACTATCATTCATCTAAGGCAAGACATATATGGGGTAATAATAAATGATTTTGTATATTCTGTGCAGGTGAATATCTTTGCAAACTGATATTGGATATTTTCGAGTATGAGGCTAAAAAAAAAATAGATGTGCTACCCATCCGAATTTTGGCAAAAAAAGAAATGAAGGTGATGTGCGACAACAATCCTGTATCTCTGAACTGTTGCAGTGAGAGTAACGTAAATTGGAGCACAGTAGAATGGAAGCAGGAAGGAAAAATAAGCATTCTAGGTAAGAATATTAGATAAGACGTTCTTTGACAAATAGGCCTTTGCTTGCTTCTTGGTCATGTAAAAGATGAGAGATGGGATAGGAAGTGGGGGGAATATCAGATGCCTGTCTTCTTTTTCACTTTTGATCTTCAAACTATGAAAAAGCACTAGGTTTGGTATCAGCTTCATCTGAGCCATTTAGAACAAAACTCCAAAAATGCAGACACGTGAGTGTCATGCTTGGGTTACAGATGAATTTTCAGCAACAGAAGACCCAAGACAGAGTGATTCTGATGGCTAAGATCCATGGCACTTCCAGCCCACCAAAAAAGCTTGTCCCTCCTTGCTTTCTTTTTCACTTTCAGCAAAGAGCTAAGGAGAAGGTAATTGGCTTTTCATTTGAGGTACAACTTGGGACTTCCTGTTTCTGTCTCTCCTCTTGGTATTAAGTTATATCCTTAACTTCAATCTTTTCTCGGTGTTTCCAGCTTTTTATCTTTTTCCTCAGACATGTTTGTCCTTCAACTACTTCATGACAGTTTCCGATCATGGTTGCTTTTGTTTTATTGAGATCGGACTTGAAGCCCCTACCCTCCAGTTTATACTGATGAATATGGTAATAATAAATAAGAGCAGCAATGGTGACTTCATCTTGTATAACAGCTTATAATTAACCCATTTAAAAATATATGTGATCGCTTTTAATCACATTTAAGCTTGACCACAAATTTGAAGCTGGCGTTTTTACCACCAATATAAAAATAAGAAAATTCAGGTTCAGATTAAATGACTTATCCAAGGTTGTCATAATATGAAAAGAAAAGGATTAGGACTCACCACAGATTTTTTTTTTTTTTTAAAAAAAAAAAAGCAACAGTGTTTGTCTTGGCCAACTAAATCATCCAGCACCTGTGTGAGCTGGTCTGCTAGTTTGGAAGGAAGATTTTCCCACCTGGAATCCCAATAGAACCACATCTAGCTCTTCTCTCCAGAAACTTTCAACTAAAATGTGACTTTACCCATGAAAATCTTTAGTGTGGTGAGCCTGGATTTTCTAAAGCCTTTGCTATTGGACAATGGAACAAAAAGATCCATTTCCAGGCACATTTTCCAGAGCACATTTACTTTGCAAAGCTGATTTCACCTGCAGCATTTGTATTTGACTTTAAAGACCACAGGAGAATGGAAAAGGACTTTCTTAACTGTTGAAAATACTGACACATGGGACCATTAGTCACTTCCCTGCTTTTTAAGGAAAAGGAGGTGTAGGCATCCTGAAGGAACTGCTGGGTGGGAGAAAGACCTTGCACAATTCCTGTGGTACTGACTGAAAAGCTTTCAACTCTGAGAGGTGACAAACCTCGCCCTTAGCAGAGGAACCAGGAAGTCTGCGCTGCAGATACTCAGGGACCTCTCTCTCTGGCGGCCACCTCTGCATCCATTCCTAATGCCCAATGTGGACTGAGCAGGCTGCAGAACAATGAATTTCCTGCCCCAGGGCTGGCCGCCAGGGGACCTACATACACAATGAGTGCTCTGATGGATTTAGCCTCTGCTCTGGCACCTTGTTCTTCTTCCTTGCCTCTTGCTGCCCCCTCTCTGCAGGTCTCTTTCTCCAAATGCCACAGCTTCTTTCAGCACCCATTTCCCCCATGTCAGTAGGAAGCACTGTAGCAAAAGATTTCACCCCAAAGCATTTGGAAGTGAAGGTTTAACCTCCTCTCAGAATCAGTTGTATTTTCAAAGCCCTCTGAAACAGGCAAGGCAGAAAGTGAGTCCTCAGCCATAGGGAATTCCTTCTCTTTTTCCCCCTTCCTTCCTTCCTTTCTTTTCTTTTCTTTCTTTTTTTTTTTTTTTTTTTTTTTTGGTACCAGGGATGGGAACCAGGGGTGCTTAACCACTGGGCCACATCCCCAGCCCTTTTTAGTTTTAATTTTATTTTCTTTTTACTTTGAGACAAGGTCTCACTAAGTTGCTTAGGGCCTCATTAAGTTGCTGAGGCAGGCTTCAAATTTGTGATCCTCCTGCCTCAGCTTCTTGAGTCTCTGGAATTACAGATGTGTGCCATTGCACTCATATCAATGGGGGAATTTCTAACTTTGAGAGGAATAACATTCAATGAATTCCATGATGTTCTCCCATTGCACTCAGGAAAAGGGTAGGGATGATCTTTAAGGGCATTGTAATTATCATAAAAGTTACTGTGGCAGATTCAATGCATTCAACTCTGTGTGTTTCTTTCTCCCTTTCCTCCCCATCCCAAGGTAGCTACCATTATCACCATTTTATAGATGAGGGTCTGGGATATTATATAATCCTGAGCAGAAATCTTGGATTTACAAATCACCCCTCCTGCAGAAAGCAAAGCACCAACCTATTAGCTGCATTCTGTAACTTCCACACGGACCTGGACTTGCACAGTCAAGGGTATCATAAGGAACACTGTGTGCATGGTGACAATACAGGGGTTCCACTTTGTTTGTGAGTTTACCATCTCTTTGGAGCCTTATGTTCACTCTCTCCCTACAAGAGATGCCTATTGTTCCCTGGTTAAGACCTGTGTGCTGCTGCTTTGTGTTTACTTATCTCCATTTTCTTATTTGACTAAATAATTCTCTATTTAAGCAAGATCTTATATTATTGTCCAACAGAAGGCTTATTAACCTTTGACATTCTGGACTAGATAATTCTTGGTGAGGACTGTCCTGTAGGATGTTCAATAGCATCCTTGGTGTCTACTCACTACTGTCAGTAGCACACAGATGCAAGAACAATACATGTCTTTAAACATTGCCAAATGTCCTTCAGAAAACCAGAATTGCCCCCAAGGTGAAAGCATAACTGGTGTGTACAGAAGACCAGAATGGAACTACTCTAGTTAAAAAGGAGTGGAGACTTGGATCTCACAAAGCTGATTATCCTTAACCCAGCTCCAGCCCTGGAAGCAGCTTAATGGAATGCTAGAATCAGCACTGATTCAAACACACCACATACATTCAACCCACATCAGGATCATGAGCCCCATTTCTGTCTGTTAAACTCTAGTTGTCTTTCAAGGCCTAAAATAAATTTTTCTCCTTTCTGACATCATTCTTAGTCTCTCAACTAAAGAATACCTCCCTTTAATCTATGTAATATACTCAGTTGTTTCTTATGGAGCCTATCCACTGCACATTATCATTATTTCATTATGTTTCTTTATGTACTCCATTCTGCATAGCTTATTCCCTCGTGTGCCAGTTTGGTGAAAAGAGTAGATCTTTAATATGAGTAAGGGTCAATATAATGCACCAATAAAAAATATGGAACCAAAAAGAGTCAGTGGAAAGGAGGAGGGAAGATGAATTCAGGATGAACACAGACATAGAGGTGTGAACCTGCAGGGCATGTCAAAGGTCCAGGATGTGACCTAGATGCTACAAGAGGGGTATAGGACAAGATCAAAAGGGGAGAGGCATATTCAAACTGAGAATAAATGTCATATATTACACAAAGCAGATTTTACTTTTTTCTATACACGATGGTAAGATTTTAAAGGTAAAAGGAAGATAGTCAGATTATCTGAAGTGAACTTTAGAAAAATAAATAATCATGTAATGTAACCTATATGTTCAAGGGACAAATTACTAAATAAGAGGCCTAGCTACAATAGTATGTCAAGTGCAAAAAATACTAGAACCTGTGCAAGTGGCTGTGGATTTACTATAAAATGTTTCAAAAGCATAATCTAAAAGATTGTTTTTTATATTTGAGTAGAAGTACAATGTGAGGAAATGCAAGTGATTAAAGATGACTTTAAGATTTTTAATTTGGTGAGCTGCCAATGGCAAAAAGAGGAAATACTGGAAGATGTGCATGCTTTGTCTAGGGAAAAATAAATAAATTGCATATGCTGAATTGGAGGTACCTGAGATGTCAAATCAACACTTGGGCATTTGCTTCTAGAATTTCCAACAAGGGTATTTCTCTCAGAAGAGATTGAGAAGTCATCTGAGTATAGTATTTAATAGGAGCCACAGCTGGGCGCAGCAGCACATGCCTGTAATCCCAGTGGCTCAGGAGGCTGAGACAGGAGGATCATGAGTTGAAAACCAGCCTCAGCAACATCGAGGCACTTAGCAACTCAGTGAGACCCTATCTCTAATAAAATACAAAATAGAGATAGGGATGTGGCTCCATGGTCGAGTGTCCGTAAGTCCAATTCCTAGTACCCCCCCCCCACAAAAAAAAGAAAGAAAAAAATAAATAGGAGCCATAGCTGTAGATGAGATTGCCCAGTGAGAGAGTCATGAAAAGATGAGGAAAGATGTATATCAGGACCTTTGCAGAAAGGTCAGTATCCTTGGGAATATCTGCTCTGAAGAAGGGAATAGAAGGGCAAAGAACCTGGAAATGAGGCACAGAAGGAGGGATGAAGACAGAGGAGAAGCCTGAGAGACCTATGAGAGAGACAGGGGTCGGGAGCATGGCATGCTACAGTCCAGGTTGAAAAGAGGAGGTTGACCTTGGTCTTAAAGGAACACTCTTGGTAAAGCAGAGGGTGAAGAAGGCCAGTTGTAAAGATTTGCTGAAAAATGGAAGTGACACAGGTAGAAAAATAGGTGGCAAAGATAGAAGAATCATGGAACAAAGTGAGGAAGCAAATGCCCTGGTGGGTAGAGGAGCTTTTGGATTGAGGAAGACCATTTTAGGAAACAAAGCCTTGAGTATATCTGAAGGGTGAAGTGAGGGAACCAGATAAAAGATTAAAAATGCAGGGAAAAGAACAGTAAAGGATGCAGTAAGGTCCAGGAGGAACTGGAGGAAGTGACTGTTCAAAGGATAAGTGAAGAGGTGAGCCTTAGAAAGAGTAGGGAGATGTGTTTATAGGCTAGAAAGTAATTCATACAAGGTGGATGAAGGTGGAACTCACTTGGGTGGCTTGAACAACCATTTGGGGACTAGGGAGAAATTCTGGTTGCATGTCAAGTAAAGTGTTTCAAATATCATTGATCCTCTATCCAGTGCTAAAAAAAAAAAAAAACATGCTAAAATAAGCTCCTAATCAAGGAGCTTATTCTTTTTCTTTCATTTTTGAAAGATAGATGTTAGTGGAAGAATGTTTTAAGCATGAATGGTGGGAAGAGAGAGGGAAGGGACTGTGGTGAGAAAAACTAGACTTGGAGTGTTCTAGAACCCCAGGCAAGTGGTGAAGATGGTATGAAGATGTTTCTGGGAATGGAAAGGGAGGTATGAAAAGGGAGCTACTGTGAAGAACAAAACTACTGGTAACTGAGGAAACATGATGTCAAAGCTTTCGCTAAAAGGGAACAAGCTACAAAAGTGCTTTCAAAGAAGATGAATAGGTGTCCCAGAATCATTTGTTCCTTCAGAAATAATAGTAGTCTAATTAATCTGATATGTTTTTTTCCCTTTCAGTTAAAGTCATACCCAAACACATTGCTTCTCTTTTTCATTTTTCACATTCCAGTGACCACCATTACTGGTCTTTGTTGGGGAAAGGCTCCAGCCAGGCACTTACTAAGTGTGTTTGTGTGTGTGTGTGTGTGTGTGTGTATGCATAGTCTCATTGAACCTTCTTACAGTCTTTGGAAATAGCTGCTGCTATTACTTACCTCCATTTAGCATCTGAAAAAATTGGGTGTAGTGCAAATTATGTGAGTTTCTCAACAACACCTGCAACTAAGTGTTGGAGTTGGATGTCAGGTAACCTGGATCCAGAGTCTGCAGACCCAACCATTAAACTGTCTCCCTTATCCATTCTAAAAGAACATCTAATTTAAATAGTAACCTTTTCTTTGATTTGACTCTTTGATACTAAATTAAAAAGTCAACCAGTCCTGACAGCAAAAGAATTGTGTATGTCATTGTAGGAATCACAGAAACAAACCTAGATTCTAAATGCAGCAGATTCACCCTCAAGGCTAATGGAACCCAGTGCCCAAGTGGGTCATCTGGAACAACAGTCATCTACACTTGTGAGTTCATTGGCGTACATGGAGCCAGAGGCAGTAAGAACATAGACGTGACATTCACCTCTGTGGGTAAGAACTCTCTCAGAATTTTTTAGCCATAATTCCATTACACTTGCCAATCACCTAGGAATATCCATGGGCAAAAGAAAGTAGGGTTTTCCCTAGAGTGGGAAACAATGGGAGGTAGAAGAGGTTTTCCCTCTCTGCCATTGAAATTGAAGTGGCATCTTTTTAAAATTGGGAAGGGTAGGGATGGGAAAATGGCTGTAGGGAAGGAAGTAGCTGCATTGTACTGAGAAGGCAGAAAATGGACTGGGAAGTAGTTGCACCATCAGATTGGTCCTATTGTTATTGAATTCATAATAAGTGTACCCTGCCCCTGAGAGTTTTCCCCTCTTCTTCCCAACCCCCATTCTTCCTTCCTTGGATCCACCAGCCTGGCTCTCTCTCTTCCCTCAGCTCCCTCCCCCATCTCCTTTCCTCTCTCACCCATTCTAGAAATCAAGCTACAGAAAGCTTTAATAATCCATTAGTCTGTCGATATTTTAAAGTGGGAATGAGTAATATCTCAATTCTGTTTTGTTAAAATGACACTTTCAAGTGTCATTTCTCCTCATATCATAAGGCAGTATAATTTTATCCATAACTGCAAAAATGTTTTTCCATCTGTTTTATGAAGATGGACCATTTAGATACATCATCAGACCCTTTCTGAAAAACTTAGAGAAAGAACTGCTGAACGTTAAACCTGTGTTACTATATTTATGCTTTCTGCTACTGTAATTTAGCATTGGTGCAAAGATCACGATGAGGCTTATGTGGGCCCATGTGATCAACACAACTCTTGATTAAAACTGGGAGTACATAACCACCTACACTGCAGAAAACTACAAACTGTCCAAAATACCCACGAAATGCTCTGGGCAATAATATGTGCAGATAAACCTAATCCTTCTCTAAATTGTTCATTGTGATTTCACTCCTATTTGTAAAACTGGTCAGGTCATGAGGATGTGTTTAACCTTTGCTGAAAATCACTATTCTGGCAGTTGGATCTCATTTGAGAATCAAAAGAATTAGATTCATGGTTCCATGCCTTTTCTTTCCACTCTTAGATGCAACTAAGCCTTAGAAAGTCACCTCTGGGTCCCTGCAGCCAGGGAACACAATGCCAGGGACCCAGTATGCCTTGCCTAAGCCACTCTGGTGCTGTATCTGAGCACTTGAACACCATGGAAAGCCTTGATTTCTTTTTCTTATGATTAAAAATAAGATTTTACATTGCTTGGAAAAGGAGGTCAACATCAGTGGCATGATGCTGTTCCCCTATGGAAGACTGAAGCCAATAACATTTTGAAGTGGCAATCATGTAAATGAGATGCTCTAAGAGAATGGAAAGAGAAGCAGAGGCAGAGAGAGTAGGACTTTCACAGAACTTTTAAGTTTGCAGTGGTCTCATGAACATTTCCTGTGAATAATTTCTCATGAATCAGTCTGGAGATTCTCATAAAGAGTAGTAAATATATAGTTAATATAAGTATTTAATTTTAGTTAGATAATTATGTATAGCTAATGTTAAGGTGCCCGTACATCCCAATTTGCCTGAGACAGTCCAATTGTGATTATTTGAGCAATAAATGTCATGATTCCCACACTGAAAATGTAGTTCCAGAATTCACTTTTGCCTATCAAGCCGTGGCTTTGTATTGATCCAGAACTAGGTGCTGGACATACAAAAAAAAAAAAAAAATACAGAAGCAAAAGGCCCGCCCTTGAGGGTTCGCACGTCTACAAAGGAGAGATGTAGAAAGACAGAAGTTAAGATTCAACATGATCTTATTTTTTAAAGTACATTTAAAGAGTAGAAAATGAAGTCATTACAAGAACCCAGCCATTTCTTGTCCCTCAAGGTGTCTCAGAGGAGGTTGGAGGGGAGCTTGGGTTACTTCAACACCCCTAAGTTTGCAACCTTTTGCCCTGCTGATCATCAGGAGATAATTCCAGCCACAAAAGGGAAGTGCACGAGTTCCTAAGGCATGTGATGGAAGTGAGTACAGTTCAGAGCACCACCGGGAACAGCCTAGAAACAAGTAAAGCCCAGGAGCAGCAAGGTACAGATTCGCGCTGACCCCAATAGAGTCAGGAGGGTCCCTGATTGCTGCCTCTGTCTTGAATTTCTCTTGTGTCTTGATGTCACCAGAAAGACTAAACACTGGACTTGTCGTCTGTTTTTTTTTTTTTTTTTGTCTTTTCTATTTTTATTCTTTCAGCCAACCTGACCATAACCCCGGACCTAATTTCTGTTTCTGAGGGACAAAGCTTTTCCATAAAATGCACCAGCGATGTGAGTAACTACGATGAGGTATATTGGAACACTTCCGCTGGAATCAAAATATATGAAAGGTTTTACACCACGAGGAGGTATCTTGATAGAGCAGAGTCAGTGCTGACGGTGAAGACCTCGACCAGGGAGTGGAACGGTGAGTGAAAGGCCAGTGGATAGGTGGTGCCATCTGGTCCCCAGGGAACATTTCATGATAGTATCCACCCAGGCTCTGCCCTAGGACATGCCCACATCACATTAAAATAGGCACAGTCCCCAGGGGGATGATGTCATCACTCCATCATCCACACTGTGGAAAGTGAGGCCCAGAGAAGAGAATAAACACGCTTCAGCCAACACAACTTCAGTTGAAGAAGGTTCCAGGGTTGGAAGTAGTGTCTGATCCCAGAGTCTGCCATTCTGTTAGAGGATTTTTAAAAATGCTTTTCTATACTTTTGGGAGTATTTCCCCAAACTATATTATAAAAAAAATAGAGCTATCCAGGAATGGGAGTGCACACCTGTAATCCCAGTGGATTGGTAGGCTAAGGCAGGAAGATTGAAAGTTTGAGGCCAGCCTCAGCAACTTAGCAAGATCTAAGTGAGACCCTGTCTCAAAATAAAAAATAAAAAGGAGGGCTGGGAATGTTTCTCAGTGGATAAGGGTCCCTGAGTTCAATCCCTAGTACCAAAAAAACCAGAAAAACAACAAAAAAAACCACAACAACAAAAAACTAGGTAAAAGTTTTATATATCTGGTTCTGAAGAAAGAAGCACTTTATTTACCTCTATGCACTGTTCACGTTAGGAGGAAACACAAATCTTGGAGAGAAAAATGAATTTGGTAGACAGAACTATCACAGAAAGAGGTAACATTTATTGAGCCCTTACTGTGTGATAGGCTTTATGTGATGAATTAATGTATTAATTTATTTAAAGCAATGAACCTTAGAGACAGTATCATTATTATCCCCATTTGACAGATGAGGTAACTAAGGCCCAGCAAGATTAAATAAATTATCCAAGTTTATTAATGTGGTAGGCAGAGCCAGGATACAAATCTGGCCCTAGTGAGCAACTCTCAACCACTCATTCTGCAGCCTTTTGTTAACTATAGGATTAATCAGTCCAGATTCTGTGAATCCCATACCTTCTTTATGTTTTTTTTTGTTTTTTTTTTTTTTAATATAAGGCCTAGATGACACTGCCAAAGTAGCTATTTATTTGGGGCTCTGGACTTGCTAACACATGGTCAGGAAATGGTAGTATCTTTCTCCCATGCTGACTTCAAATCTGCTGTGTCCAGTTGCTCTTTCTTACTGCTGGGCGATAACTGTAGCTTTTCCCATCACATTAAACTATTAAGCAGTTCCATCCCTGGGTACTGAAGAATCTGTTTTGGTCTGAATCTACAATACTTTACTTTTATGTTCAGTCTTAAGTTCCCCCTTCCTCCCAATAGGAATTGAAAGTGTTTCTTTTGTCTCTTGCTTCTTCTTTTTTCTCTGGTGCCTGCTAACTCCTGGCTACTCCAGAGAAAGAATATAAGAAAAATGGGAGAGTATAACTTACCTGTAGGTACCTTAAAATCTTGCTATATTTTCTCCAGGGCAGCTTGCTCAAGTGATTTTTCTTCTGATGCTGTGGTACTCTGGAACCTAAGGATCCTGCCCACTTAGAGATGGGGAAGGGGTCATCAAATAACATCATGCTCCATTGGATCAACAACACTTAAACAAACAAACACACAAACAAACCTCATCCTTGAACACACCTTTCTGGGTTGATGAAAGAACCTTGGAACAGAAATTGGGAATCTGGTTTGAAACTTCATCACTCCTAACCTTGAATAAGCTGCTTAATTTTATTTGAAACTAAATACATATTTATGTGCTCATTGGTTAATCTTTCAAATATATGGGGAATCCAGGAGAAGGATTGGTCAAGAATTTTGTCCTTCAGTATCCAGGAAGGTATGGTGTGGTCTTATCTAGGTTCGACAGAAAAAGCTTATACTCTCCTTAACCTTTCCAGCAAATGCCTTTAGGAGTGATTATTTCACTCCATCTCATTTTGCTTCTTTCCACTTAGGAACCTATCACTGCATATTTAGATACAAGAACTCATACAGTGTTGCAACCAAAGATGTCACTGTTCACCCGCTGCCTCTAGAGCCCAACATCATGATTGATCCTTTGGAAGCTAGTTTCTTATGTGGAGACTCCCATTCCTTCAAGTGCTGCATAGAGGAGGATATGGACTACAAAGTTACATTCCAGATTGATTCCTTGTCCTTTCCGGCAGGTAAGATGCAGAGTGCTGAACTGATAGGACATATTATATGTGGATTCAAAATTCTATTCTTAAGCAGGGATCAAGAAACCTTCAGAAATACAGTGTAACAGAGTAGAATTCCAAAGACATTACTTTCTGTTTGACAATGCGCCTGTTGACTTACCAGTTTGCAGCAAAATCTTTGGAGTTTCGAGGGTGGAGTACATTCTTTTTGGTGGGAACTGTTGAAGACAGTGTTAAGATAACCTTCAGTGGATTTAAACTCCTCCTATGTGGCAGACTAAATATTCTGATAATCCTTTCTGATATGCTGTCAAATAACTTGCTATAAAAGTGACACAACAATCGTTTTAAATGCACAATTGAGCATGCCAGAAAGTAAAAGAAATAACCAAGAACTTAAAACATAGAAGAAAAGAAAACAGAAATGATGTTTTTATTTCATGCTAGAGCTTAACTGCTGGCATTTGTCAGAATTAGAAACCTGGAGCCTTGGATTAAGGCTTCCAGAGGACATAAAAAACATGCCATGCTCCCTAAGCAGTAACTGAGGCTCCCCACCCCACCAGCACAATGTCAAACGGTAATATGCTTAGTAAAAGAATAGGCCAGAAAACCAAAATCCATCTGCCTAAGTTAAGAGTTGGTCCTAATTTTGGGGTGGGCAATAAGTTTCCCCTGAGAATTATAACAGTTTTGTCCCCACCCCAACTTTTGGCTTTGAATTTATAATGTTTGTGGTTCAAGATCACTAAGATAAAGCATAACTAATTTAATGTGGTCCATTGATTTGCACCCTAAACCATAAGGCAATTAAAAACAACAATAATGTAATTCCTCCCTGGTAGAATATATCCTCAATTCAAATTCCTCAGGATTTCCAGAGATTAAGTTCAACTAAACATGAGTTTACAACCTCAAATCTCAAAACACAGATACCTTCCTGAAGGTTTTATAAACTCATTCATTCTTTCGTAACTATTCTTGGGAATTTGCACTTTGTAAGGTGCCATAACAAACAAACAAAAGGAGATAAAATAATTTAGGCACATATTTTGATATCTAGAAAGGCCTGTGCCATAAAAGAGAATGCATATAACATTAAATATATAAAAATAAGTTACATAGATTGGAGAAAAAAATAAAAATTTTGAAATGCTAGCCTCCAAAAGATTGGATTATCGTAAAAAGACTGTATGTAGAAGCATTTAGTACAAACCTGCATATTGAAACCTTCAAATGTTTTCAGCACTCTGTGGTCAATATGCATATCTGTGTGTGTGTGTGTGTGTGTGTGTGTGTGTGTGTGTGTGTGTGTGTGTGTGAGCTAAGTACTGGGATATCCAAAGATAAATAAGACCAAGAGTCTTCTCTATAAAATATATGAGCTTGTGGAGAAGAAAGATCCACAAAGAGCTGATTAAAATGCTACAGAGTAAAGACAGGATAGGAAAAATGCACAGAGCATGATGGTAGGTACTAGAAGGATTAGAGGGATGCTGAAAAAGCATGATTGTGACCATCAAAAACATATGGGCACAGATTTGGAATTATGAATGGTAGAAGCAAACTTCTGATTGGCACATATGGGTATGCAGGCTTACTTCTGGGAAACAGAGATCATCTTTATGGAAATATGTGAAAATGCATTAAAAATGAATGTTACACACTCTGGAGAAATATTTGACAGGTTTCTTCACATTGAATCACCTTGATAATATATATGCTTTGGATGCTCATGTTGTGACTTCATGCTCTCAATCATTCTATCTCTAGCAAAAGAAGTTAATGGGAAACAAGTGTGCTACAAATACAGTTTCAACACAAGCTCAGTTTCCTCGTGTTCAAGAAATGTTGATGTGTTTTGTCACTTTACCAATGCTGCTAATAATTCAGTTCAGAGTCCATCTATGAAGCTCTCTCTGGTTCCTGGTAAGTGCCTTTCACATTACTTTAAAATGTTAGAGTCAAGAGCAGGGACTCATTTACCCATTCGCTTCCTCATTCATACATTCAATAAATATATGTCAAACACTTTTCTTGTGGCAAGCTGTGGGCTAACCATGGTAGATTTGAAGAGAAATAAGTCATGTTTTCTGGCCTCAGGCCTAGGGGAAAGCTAGACAGATGCAGTAAAAAATGTCACATACATTGGGTATGTGCAAATCTAAGCCTATTGTGGGTGGTCAGAAGGGCCACCTGGTTTAACTCTGCTGCTGGCAGGTGGGGAGAAAGTGATCAGGAAAGCCTCGCAGATGAAATCATTTTTCAGTTGAGCAGGGGAGGCCACCAGGTAGTTCACCAGTCAGATAAGAGTGGGAAGAATCTGTGCACGCTTGAGATTCCTTTGAGCTTTAGTCAATGGGAGTGAGACACAGCCACATGGGAAGAATTAATGTAACGAACAGGTAACTGCCTTTCGCATCCTTTGTCACCACTAAGTCAATATGCCTCTGCAAAATATCTTTGAGATGCAAAGTGATGATCTGTGGAGGCATTTCTATATTAGCCCATGCTGAAAGTTCACCCTCAGTTAACAGAGAGGCAAGGAGATCTGTGATGATCCTGGGCATCTCCTCATGATTCTTCCCAGTATCAGGACCCCTGATGTACAAAGGACACACGGCTCTATCACTAGCTTATTTGAGTTGACAGAATGATTTGTGGTCATTCTCAGATATATTATTGGTCACTGGGCCCTGGACAACTATGTAGGGAAGCAAGTTAGCATTTCATGTCTCTCTGAGTCACTGTCAACTGACCCTCCAAGCACAGTCCCTTTTCATTGTCTCCCCATCACAACCAACGTGTTTTATCTACTTATCTTTGTTCTCTTTCTTCATACCAAATTGATTTCCACGTCTTTTTCCTGGAATAGGTAATTACTTATTTATTTCAAGATTTTATACAATGGGTGAGATTTCAAAATTCATTAACTAAACAAAAAAGGGAGGATTCTACTCATCAGAGTCAGGATGCCCTAGAAATTAAGAAATTCTGCAACAAATTTCATTTTCTCATTCTTTTCTCCTCATGAGCGGAGGTGAAATAGAGTCACCTTTAAGGAAAACCAGAAGGAACAAATGCTTATTAAACCCATTGCTTAGAATATCCAAGTCTTGGATGCCTGGAATTCCTACTGTTAATTACATTTTTTGCCGGGGGGTGGGGGTGGGGGGGATGGGGGGGTGTCGCTGCTGAGGATTGAACTCAAGGGCACTCAACCACTGAGCCACATCCCCAGCCCTATTTTGTATTTTCTTTAGAGACAGGATCTCACTGAATTGCTTAACACCTTGCTTTTTGCTGAGGCTATCTTTGAACTCGCAACCCTCCTGCCTCAGCCTCCCAAACCAGTGGGATTATAGGCATGCACCATTGCACCTACCTGTTAATTACATTTTTGAACTGCAGTGGTGCTTCTCAACCTTGGCTGCACACTGACCAGGGGAGCTTAAAGCACTGCTGAAACTGGACTTTCTGCCTAGACATTCAGGTGGACTTGAGCCTGGACACTGGCAATATCCAAAGCTCCCAGTGATTCTAACATGCCAACATTGATAATCCCTAGATTAAGGCATTACATCCTTAAGATTCCTGGTAAAGGGGACACCTCTCATTGGGAGAAGAGCCCATTTTCCATGGTTTAGATTTTCCCAACAGCAAAGAGAAGCTGGCTGGGAATGGGAAGTGTGGGTGAAGCATAGAGATAATCATTTCTGTTAGGAAATTCAAGCTCAGGCTACAAAAGACAGATTTGTATGAAAAGCAGAGAGGGGCTTTGGACAATCAGGAGCAAAATTAAGAAACCGAGTAAACTCTGAAAAAGTCACTGAAAGTAAAGAGAGATGTGACTTCAAACATCACAGTTCTATCAGCTGGACCCTATTTCCACTGTTTTTTTCTTCTTCTTTCAATTGTTCCCTTTATTCCTGTGTTTCCAATGCAGAGAAGAATATCACATGCCGGGATCCCACAATAGGCGTCGGGCAGCCAGGAAAGGTCATCCAGAAGCTATGCCAGTTCTCCAACGTTCCCAGCAGCCCTGACCGTACCATTGGAGGGACCATCACTTACATCTGTGCAGGCTCAAGGTGGAAGGTGAAGAGAAAAGACTGCATCTCTGCTCCAATAAATAGCCTGCTCCAGTTGGCCAAGGTGAGCTTCAAACCCTTGACTCTGAGCTCTTGCTAGGGACATCTGTCTGGCTCATCAGATTTCTCAGCTTTCAGGAAAATGGCCTTGGGATGCTTTGTGTTGCTCCAAAAGCTACTTACATTTGTCTACTCTCAAAGAAGATGCAACCATAGAGATGCTTTAAAGTGTTTAAATTCAAATACAAAGGCAAAAAAGTATGTGTGCTGCACTAGAACCAGCAGGATAACCTTAACGATGACTTCTCAGGACCTTGTGCCCAATATCTGCAAGGGGTGGTGGTATTATACTCTATTTTATCTCATTTGAATATTTTGGAAATCTAATAGCTATAGTCTTTTCAGAAAAAAAAGGAGTAACGTAAAAAATAAGATTTAATAAAATGTAGATGGAATTTATGCTTTTGCTGGTCTGAGATTTCCTCAATCCTTAGAGGTTCTTGTACTGTTGAAAGGACCAATCCACCTCTCTTAACAAGAACAAAAGCTACTGCTATGTAGCTGGAGGAAATTCTTTGCTTCTTCTCAAAATAAATAAATGTTGCTCCCATCTCTAGTCTGTTGTAAGTTAGAGACTCCTAAAAACTCCATGAGCTACGGCAAATAAATACCTGAGCTATAACTAGTGGATTATAGTGAATGGTGACATCTTTTGAACAACCAGTTTAAATCCTCTGGAGAAAGAAGAGTGGAGAAAGAGAGAGAATACTGATTTGTATTTTATCAAATTATCATCCTTCTTACTTCTTATACCCAAATGATTAAAATACCTACTATGTTTAAAGTGTTATTATGGGTGCTATCAAGATAGAGAGGTCAAGTTAGAACTTGGCCTCCCATTTGATAAAGAGTATAATGCATTTGAGTAATTATATACATGGTAATTTTCAGCAAAATAAATCAAGGAGTTCTGCTTGAAAAACGTAGCATTTGTGGTGGGCCTTGATGGATAAAGCCTGAGGGATACAATTTATTGTAATCAAGAAAGATAGGACTTATAATTTGAACTCAATGTGTGTCCTAGTTCAAATTCTCTGTATATTTTCAATGGAAAAGGGCCCTACTGATCTATCATGCTCCACCTAATTTATTCATTAAGCATATAAATTATATGTCAAGATATACAACTTGTGCTATGTTAGGAATTATGGAATAATGGAAGAATAGAATAGAAATATAACACATGGCTCATATTGTTAAGGATCTTATAATTTAATTGAAGAGGTATTAGAATTGAAACACCAGATGATAGGAGAAGAGATGTCACAGGTGTAAGGCAGGTGAAATAAAAAAGATGTATTAATAGGAAGGCACACTCATCAAAGTCTTCTTAGAAAACATAAGTAGGAGCTTGAGTTAAAAATCTGAATTGTGATCATTACAGATAGGTGACATAATCTGAGAATAAGAGAGGCCATTCTTCCTTCCACTGGGAGAACAGATAGAAACAGAACTGCTCCAAGAAAACAGGAATGGGCAGTCACCTTAATGGTCAGCAGAGCAGGTGATGCAGAGAAAAATAAAAGCTGGCAAATGCTTGTCTATGAAGATATCCAAGTGATAATTTTATTCCCTATTAGTTTTCTAGCAATCAAGTTTCTCTCTCTTTTGTTCCTCACTAGTTTTCAGCTTGACATATGTTTTAATTTTCCCTTTCTGTGTGTGAGGTATAATGTCTTAGTCCATTCTAAAGAGTACACACAGAGAGTTTAAGAAGAAAATTATCCCTAAAATAAGTATTTAAGTTAAATAAGTAAGATAAATAAGATTAAATAATTATTGTCAGAGATGAAATAAATAAGATATACTAAAATAAGGATGTCTTATGCAACAAACTTACACTTCTGGGTGTGGAGAAAAATAAAAATAAAAAACTACAGCTTTGGGAGATTTTGCCACGAATGATCAGTGGGATCTCATTAACAGGTGTATTATTGGTGTTGGCTTTTGTTTTACTAGGCTTTGATCAAGAGCCCCTCTCAGGATGAAAAGCTCCCTGCCTACCTAAAGGATCTTTCTACTAGCACAGGCAAGGAGGAACAGGAAATCAGCTCATCACCAGGGAGCCTGGGAGCCATTATTAACATCCTTGATTTGCTTTCAACAGTTCCAACCCAAGTGAATCCAGAGATGATGAAGGTAAGATTGTCTATCTTGCAGATCTTTGGGGTTTTAACCTTCTCGCCCCTCAGGACTTCTGTTTAGGAAATGAAATTTCTCCCCAGTGCAGCTTCTTCTCTGTCTTTTCCAGAGCAATAACTTGGATATTAGAGTTGCATGACATGTTCTGCCAGCCATGGCTTTTAAGAATCACAGAGTGTTTCTAGTATTCATTTGGAGACCTTAAGAAGATTTACTTAGGAATCTCTGCTCTAGTTTCTTTACTCATATAGTATGAATTCTTATCTGCTTTCCAGGAAAATTAGGAGTTAAAGGTTTTCAGAATATGTACAAGGAGGGATTCAGAGGTCTAGCATTAACCATGAACTTTGAAACAATCCAAATACGGGGAGAAAAGAGAGTTCACTCACAAGAGTTCAAATGAAGAGGCTTTAATGAAGAGATACAGCAATAAGCCAAAGTAAATTCAATCAACTTATCAATCAATAGGTGGTGAGGCATTCAGAGACCAGCAACATTTATAAAACATTTATACTCCCAGGGAAAGAAGAGAAAGTAGGGCATCCATAGCCCTGGGAGGTCTGAAGTCTTGGAGGAGAGACCTCTTAGCAGGATCTACAGTCCTGGAAGGCCATAGCTATTACCAAAGATGTGCTGAGTAGCAAGGATATTGGAGGGTAAATGGGGGAATAAACAATTTCTCCTTCTCTCTTCCCCCATCTGCCCTTCACCTGCCAGTGCCTCTTAATGGCCAAACCAACAAGAGGCCAACTGCCAAGAAACTAGGTAACAAGGTCCAAATTATATAAATTTTCTGGGGCTACTGTAACAAATTACCACAAACTGGGTAGCTTACAATGACAGAAATGTATTCTGTCACAGTTCTGGAAGCTAGAAGTCTGAGATCAAAATGTCCCCAAGGCCCGGCTCCCTCCATGGGTCTGGAATAGAGCCTCCCTTGCCTCCTCCAGCTTCTGTTGGCACCAGGCTTTTTTTTGGCTCACAAGTGTCTCAGTCTGCTTCACGTGCCTCCCCCCTTCTCCATCAATCTACTTCCTTTCTGCCTCTTGGCATTGGAGTCAGACCCACTCAGGAAATGTGGGATGGATGCTCACTTCATTACATCTACAAAGACTATTTGCCCTAATTTGCCCAAATAAGAGCAAATAATCCTTAGCCCTTCACAGTTTTTAGGTATTATAGTATTTTGGAGGCCATTCTTCACCCCACTATAGGGCTCAGACTTCCAGAGGACAGATGAGGCAAGAGAGGAAGAGAAATTACTTTTTTTTTTTTTTTTTAGGGGAGAATGGACGAAAAATGACAAGCCCAAGTTTATGAGAGGAAAACCAAATTGTTTACAGAAAACAAAGATGCCTTTGACGACACCCTCAGAGCCCATTCGATGCTCAGGGTTTGAGGGGGTCTTCAGACACTTTCTTTTGCTGGGGACATGCCACCCACCAAAATATCTTTACAGGCTTCAGATAATATAAAACCAAACCAAACAATAAATACCTCTGTCCGACTGCTGAATGGGCCTTCGTAAGTGGTGGGAAGGTGGCTTTCACAGTCACTATATCTAAATGGTTGGCAAAGTCCCACAGTCTCCTAGCCACCTCACCTCTGTCATCAGAAGGCAGGTCGCTGATCCTCTCTGCCTGCAATGTCTCATTTTTCTCTTCTCTTTCTCTCTTATTTGTACCCACTCACCCAATTTCCAGGGAGATGTCATGTTTGTCACTTTCATGTTTACAAGAATTTCCTTGGCTTGACCCCACATGTGTCCCTTACAGGATGTGCTGTCTACTGTGAACATCATCCTCAGTAAGTCCGTCTTGAGCACCTGGAAGGTTTTACAGCAGCAGAAGACCAACCAGAGCTCCCAGCTACTGTACTCCGTGGAACGGTTTTCCCAAGCCTTACAGTCTGGAGATAACACCCCATCGTTCCTCTCCCACCCCAATGTGCAGATGAAGAGCATGGTGATAAAATCTGGCCAGACGAATATCTACCAACAGAATTTTATTTTTGCAGACTCTGACCTCTGGGGCAACGTGGCCATTGATGAGTGCCAGCTGGGACACTTGCAGCCAGACTCATCTATTGTCACGGTGGCTTTCCCAACCCTCCATGCTATCCTTGCTCAGGATATTCAGAAAAAGAATTTTGCAAACAGCTTGGTGATGACAACCACCCTCAGCCACAATCTGACCAAGCCGTTCAGGATTTCCATGACTTTTAAAAACAACCATCGCTCAGGAGGGAATCCCCAGTGTGTCTTCTGGAACTTCAGTCTCGCCAACTCCACTGGCGGGTGGGATAGCAGTGGGTGCCGGGTGAAAGAAGTCAAAGGGGACAGCGTGTCCTGTACCTGTGACCACCTGACATCGTTCTCCATCCTCATGTCCCCTGACTCCCCAGATCCTGGTTCTCTCCTGAAAATACTACTAGATATCATCTCTTACATTGGGCTGGGCTTTTCCATCTTGAGCTTAGCGGCCTGTCTGGTTGTGGAAGCCATGGTGTGGAAATCGGTGACCAAGAACCGGACTTCCTACATGCGCCACACCTGCATAGTGAACATCGCCACCTCCCTGCTCATTGCTGATACCTGGTTCATTGTGGCCGCTGCCATCCACGACCATCACTACCCACTCAGCGAGACGGCCTGTGTGGCTGCCACCTTCTTTATCCACTTCTTCTACCTCAGCGTCTTCTTCTGGATGCTGACGCTGGGCCTCATGCTCTTCTATCGCCTGGTTTTCATTCTACACGATGCCAGCAAGTCCGTTCAGAAGGCTATTGCCTTTTCTCTAGGCTACGGCTGCCCCCTGGTCATCTCAGTCATCACCGTGGGGGCTACGCAGCCGCAGGAAGTCTACACAAGGAAGAATGCCTGTTGGCTCAACTGGGACGACACCAAGGCCCTGCTGGCCTTTGTAATCCCAGCCCTGATCATTGTGGTGGTGAACGTGACCATCACCGTTGTGGTCATCACCAAGATCCTGAGGCCTTCCATTGGAGACAAGCCAAGCAAACAGGAGCGGAGCAGCCTGTTTCAGATCAGCAAGAGCATTGGTGTCCTCACGCCACTCTTAGGGCTCACTTGGGGTTTTGGTCTTGCCACTGTGTTCCAGGGGAGCAATGCCGTCTTCCATATCATATTCACCCTCCTCAATGCCTTCCAGGTAAGTTCTGCTGTGCAGGGCTCTCGGGAAATTTCTGTTCCTGTGGGAAAAACTAATGATAGAAACATAAACAGGAGTAGGAATGGGGAAGGATTTCAATGCAGAGAAAGCCTTAGTCCTAAGTAGCAGTAATATAAGAACTCAATGAGATAGAAAAGGACACCTTCCTTTGCTCCCATGGAACCTTGTACCTCTTATCACCTGCATCATAACTTGGTTGCATGTGCCAGTCTCTTTCAAATGCCCCGATAATGCAAGCAGGAGGGAAGTCACTTCCATAAACTGGATGTTGCTATTTGTCCAAGATTACTTTGGTGCAGTCTATTATCCCTTCAGTGAAAATAATTAAGCCAAGTCATGTCTCCAGTTAGTCTCCGGAAACATCAGTGAGCTCTGTGCACACCTTCCTTGTTCATCACCAAATTCCTTGTACCTAACAAAGAACTTGGCCCTCAGTAGGCTCTCAAAAGCCATTTGAATGAAATCAGTGCTATGTATCACATAATTTCTCTGAAAATATTTTGTTGAAGAATGAGGCAATGAGTGCCCTAGGCGTGCTACACAATCTGCTTGATTATAGTAAAATGGAAAGACATCTCCACTCTCCTGTAGCACCTAATAGTAACAGTGTGTTAGAAGAGCTCCGACAGAAGTATAAACAAGCCCCTTTGGTGCATGGGGAAGGGAGGGATTAATTCTGTTTCTCCCAATATTTGGGGTTTGAGGGGTTAAAGATAAGGAAAGACCTGCCCAAAGGATGCAGGTGCCTAAGAGCTGGTGAGGGGCAGAGGTGAAGTTGAGAGTTTGCTCCCAGATGCTTGTGACACAGCCATAGGAACCTAACTACTGCTTCTGGGCCTGTGGCTCTGAGTCATAGGTTCTTATCCAGTGACCTTCAAGGTATCCCTCTGTTAGAAGAAGCTCATGATCTTTCCTCATGCCCCAGAGTATCATCACAGCCTGGAAGGGTAGGTGAGTAATACAGACCCAGGGCTTTATTTAATAGCATAACTAGCAAGACATTTAGTTCACAATTACGGAAAATAGAAAATATTCTCCCAGTATCACAACACGAAGGGTACCTTAGTGTGTACCAATAAAATCCCTTTTTAACATTGTCATGTCCTAGATTAATTTTACAAACACAGATGGGGAAAGAAGTATTGCAGTTAGCACTAGGTTAATACTACTTCTTGTTTCACTGGACAATAGAATATGATTAAAATTTACTTCTCTTAATTCTTTCCCCAGGGATTATTCATTTTACTGTTTGGATGCCTCTGGGATCAGAAGGTAGGAACAATGACAGTTTTCACTTCACAGAGAAGTCTAAAGTGCTGGTGGTATGTTGACCTGACTGGGCTTCTTTTCAACAATGCAGGTACAGGAATCTTTGCTGAACAAGTTTTCATTGTCAAGGTGGTCTTCTCAGCACTCAAAGGTAAGCCCTCTCTCTGGAGTCTTTCCACTCTGTATCCTCACGTGTTCCAACTGGTAAGGATGAAGTGGAGAGTTCAGACTGTCTACCTTGGGATTTTGGTCAATGGAGCTAAATGCAAACCCTTTTGCCTCCATAACTTGTTGTTTTTGCTTTTAACCACATTCTGCCTATGGAACACAGCCATGCCACTACCACAAAGATGCTTCTTTGCATCTTTAAGTCAGCGTTTAAATGACAGATGAGATAAACTTAAGATAAAAATCAAACTTTCAATGCAAAGCAATTTTGGGGGGGGAATTCAAAGCATTAGAGAAAACAATTTGAGGAATAATAATGGACAGAATTTTCTATAGTTCATTTTGAAATATTAGTGTTTTCCTTGAATACATTTGACTACATGCACTTATCAAAGATAGAAAATCCTACCAAACAACAAAACATTTTTGAGGTTGGGTATAGTTTGGTGGTAGAGTGTGTATTTAGTAGGCAGGAGGGCCTAGGTTTGATCACCAACAAAAAAAGAAAGAGAGAGAGAGAGAGAGAGAGAGAGAGAGAGAGAGAGAGAGAGAAAGGGAGGAAGGAAGGGAGTGAAGGAAGGAAGGAAAGAAAGGATGGAGGAAGAATATGATTCAAATCATCTGTATTTTTTAATACTGATGATAAAATTCCATTGTCTCCATGTGGTCCAAGGAGGTGGAATTAAAAATGCAGGAAAGTGATGGCTAGGGGGCAGCAAAGCAGTCCCCCAAGAGGTCAAGTAGTCCTGGTCTAATAAATTTGCTTTGTGATTGTCTTTTTCTTCTCTCGTAGTCAACATCCATAGGTTCATCTACACCCGTGTTTTCTATGAGTTCTCCAATATCAAGAAGATTTAACAACCTTTTTGGTAAAACAGGTACGTAGTGACTTCTGGGTGTTCCCTGGTTGACCAGAACAAATTTGCTCTGATGGGGAACCCCCTATTATTCCACCTGACACTTCATGACATTACCTGAAATAACCTCATCTAAGATAGAAGTTAAATGTAGCAACTTGCTTACATATTCACCAGTCATGAGGTGGTTGGTACAAAGAGCAATTCCCTTTAATAATAATAATGAATAATAACTCATGAAGAATAATATTAAGAAAATCTTGACTAGGCTCAGAGGGCTTTCCAACAAATCATCGGCACAAAGTGGGACCTGTAATTGAATAAAAAAAGTAGGTAGTCCTGGTCTTGTGCTATGGTGCAGCAAAGGTTATTATTCTTGCAAAATCTGACCATGGGATTCCATTCTAGGGTTTGTTTTTCCCCTTATAGAATATGCTTGTCTTATTCATCAACACTTATGAAGCTGTGCATATCTGTGGGGGACTATCTAAGTTAGCTATTCTATTAGAAACACAGTTAAAATTTCCATCTTGGAGGTATGAAATAAATAGTATTAAAGACTTGGAGCAATGGTCTCAGCTATTCTGGTAAATTAAATACCATGCCAATGTCCCCAACAGGAAAATAAGCACCAAAATTCCTGCCAGCTTTTTTTGAACTGAATAGATCTCACCAATGCAGAGTTCACAAGTGTCTCAAGATTCCCAAACCAAGCTTTTTGTGTAAAAGTATATTTTGACTATGCCTATCATTGCCGAATCTCCAGAGGACTTAGTGTTTTCAGCTTCCATTTGATGAATTACTCATGAAACTGACAGACCTTTTCATTTTGAAAGGCACTAATTTGACCTGTTGGGAAATGATGGAGCTTTCAGGGAGTGTGTTAACCATTGGCATTAAAGTGAAAATAATGAAAACTCTATTAAATTATTCCATCCGGTCAGAATGTGATGCACTATGTAAGGCCAGCGAAATGCATTTCTTGTTTCTGAATCAGTCAGATAAACACTGGGTGTGGGCTCTGTTCTTGGAGAATGAGGCCTTGATATTCTGGTCATTGCCACTGGATAGTCTCTCAAGGGTCATCAGCTCCACGTTGTCCCATTTGGAGGGTGCATAATCACTGTAACTTTGGTTTATGTTGTCAGCAGCCCCAAAGGTCCCCACAGGCAAAGACGGAAACCTTGTTAGCAGTGGCAGTTCACGAAACTGATGGTAGGGTGGACACTCTGACCCTTCCTTTGCCCAACACACACTCCCCACTCTTCCTCAGCACGGTGCCCTCCATCTGCCCACTCGAGGCTGTGCCGCTGCTCCAGTGCTGCCCTCCCTGACGCTGGTTCTCGACACTTTTGTTGGCCCTGGTTTCTATTTCTTCTGGGTCTTGCTTTTTCTTCCCTTATAATATCCCCCTTCTTTCCTTTTCCCTCCCTTTACAAACCTTCACCTTTAGCTCAGCCTCCTGGTTCCTTCCAAGAACTTCCCCAAGTCACCATAATCAAGGGGACCAGGGAGGCTCCCTCATGCAAATGTCCCCAGGTCCGTGCATGTGGTGGCATGTGGAGAGGCCTGCCCACGTTGAGATCCCCCTGTCCTCTCCTTTGTAGAAATCTGGCTGCTGGTGTGTTGTGAAGTAGTTAGTGCTTGTCGGCTGCCATGCATGCTTGAGAATGGCAGCTCTTCTGCGTGTGTTGATTGGCACTCTTGGGCTGGGGAGGAGGGCAGGCATGGGTTGGTTTCCGGGCATGGCTGAGCTTACCCAGCTCCTGGATTAGAGCTCCCCTCGATCCATTAGGAGATGGTCACACCCCAGAGTTGATGAAGGCTTATCTGTGAGGCTGAGCAACAACTCTGTTTTCCAGGAACGTACAATGTCTCCACCCCAGAAACAACCAGCTCCTCCCTGGAAAACTCATCCAGTGCTTATTCATTGCTCAACTAAGAACAGAAAAATCCAACCCACATGACCTCCTGGAACCGGTGGACATGATCTGAGCAAGAGACCCTTTTAAAGCTATGGGTGAAGTGTTCTCTCTGCAGGCCTCTGGGAGCAGATGCTGAAGAGTCTTTTCCACTAGAAAAGAATCTTTCTTTTGTAAAGACAGATAAAAGTAAAGATTATGTTTATTTTTGCTCCCCACCCCCATCCCTTGTGTGATGTCAGGTGTGTATAGTATTTAAGTGAAACTCAAATCCCCCAGGCCCAACTTCTCTGTCTATATTGTAAAATAGAATTTTGTAGAGACATTTTCACTTTATGCTATTGGCTACAAAGATAAGCTTTGATTAAAATAATAAGAAGGAAGCTAGTACCTAAGAAATACTTCAGCAAATTCTAGGAAGGAAGGAAGGAAGGAAGGAAGGAGGGAGGGAGGGAGGGAGGAAGGAGGGAGGAAGGGAGGCAGGGGAAGAAAAGGAAGGAAGGGGAGAGGGAGGAAGAAAGGAAGGAGAAAGAAAAAGAAAAAAGAAGGAGAAGGGAAAAAAACAACATTAGGGACCATATTTTAAGATTTTCATGGTAATGATCTAATATATTTCAACACTGAGAGGTTAAAAAAGAAGACTCAAAATGGACACTGAAAGTAAGACGAGGAGAATGAGCTTGGTATCTTCCTGATATTTTCCTAGTTACGAAGGGGGGAAAAGACAGTGGAAAAATAAGGAATCACATCATTGGGATGCTTTCAAGTGGATAATGATATTTACAAGCAATGTACCTAGGGGGACATGATTCTCCTAAAATAGACATGCGTGGATTCCTTTGTGTGTCAAGGTCAAACCTAAGTGAATGAACATGCAGAGGAAGTATGACTGCAGGTCCTTGCCAGATCCGAGTAGATCCCACTCACTGCTGACTAAAGTTTTTCAGTTTATTGAAAAAGCCTTTTGTTTCATTTTAGCACAAATTTTAAAAATAAAAAAAATATATATTTTTTATACCCAACCATTGACAAATGTGACATATTGCACTGAAAATGGAGTCCAACTGTCTTATTCGTAACAGCTTTAACCAGGTACTTCTTCTCTGTGCATTGTAGAATAGATTTTAATATTCTTCTGGCATTGTACATTACTATTATCATTCTTACTATGCATTTGATGGTCCTTGGTGTGCTGTATAATTCTTTGTGTAGTATTTCTTTCAGTTCCCAGACCAATATACATTAAGAGTTTTTTTAAGGTTCAGTTTGCACTTATTACAACCACTTGGAAAGCTTCCAGAGAAAAATTTTACAGAGGGCTATTCTGTGTTCCTAATGATACTTCACCTTGATGAGCAAATGGCAAAAGTTTTTCCAAGGATTTGATTGTTCATGAATTATTTGTGTGTATGTTGTCTGTATGTGTGAATTTCATCAAAATACAAATATTTATTAAACTGTATCCATATTAGAGTTCACCGTGGACTGTAGATATATTAGCCCAAATATTCCAGATCCAACTCTGATCCCAAAGGAAAGTGGAAGAGGAACATGGGGCTACTCAGGACAGTGGGTAGTGAAGTCTTCATAAGGACTGGGAACAGAAATTGGGCACTATTGATAGGAAGATGGATCAAGAGAGCCTGAGAGTCAACAACCCCCCCCCCACCACCACCTTTTTATTTTAATAAGGCTTGAAAGAGTTTTACATTAATAGTTTCACCCTTTAAAATCTCTTCCTATTACTTTTAATTTTTGAATTCTACCTCTGCCTCTCTCTTACTCACAGAGCAGAAGAATGGGGTTCTAGTAATGGTTAAAGTCAATGAACTCAATTTCTACATATTTACAAATGCCATAGACATCTCTTCCCATGTTTGCCTCAGAATCGTCACATCCCTGCCTTAACTGAATGGTATAGTATCTAAATTCCCTAAAGGAAATGGTTATTAGGCTATAAATGCAGGCCACGTTCTCCAGGCAATGATCAGCCTTGGTGTAGAGCTCAGCACTGAGAAGACAGAGGCAAAGGTTCAGGTGCAAGGTCCATTGAATTAGAATTAGATGTATCCAGCAAGAACAGCCCCTATTGATTTGGTTCCTGAAGTTAATGTCAAGGAGAATTGAGACCATCTAGAGCACAATGCTAGCTGGGCCAGTGTAGCATCAGGGAAACCACAGTCCTGGGAAGAGGCTGTGGCTGTCATGTTCAAAACAACAAGGGAACAAGAAACACTGAACTTCCATGGGCTTTGGTAGAGATCCCTTAGGAATCACTGTGCTTGACCTTGTGAAGGGAACCTCCATAATGGCAGGAACTTTCCATGGAATTCCCTTGGGTGTAGATCTGGCCCTCTGCCTACAGTCGTTAGCAGAGGCACGTTCTTTTGTTTCCAACACACCCATCCTTGCACACATGTGCCCATGCATGGTATACACACACACACACACACACTCACTTGCACTCACACACAGGCTGGCATGCACCTCCACCTTTTGACCACAGCACTGGATCCAAATTCCAGAAGAGCAGTGAGAATGAGGTACTGGAGAAACTTTTTCTGGTTTTCTGCCCACTACAATATACATAGTTCAACGCTAGCCTTTCCCAAGAATACCCTAAAATAAGCATAGAATTCAAAATCACAGAAGAAAACGGCCCATGGATCAGTGAATCTGATGAAAGCCAGAGCCTTCTTGGCCTTGAGGTTGACGGTTCCCAAGCAGCAAGGACAAGAGGCTAGTAGCAACAGAGAAGGAGGCACATGGATGCTGATATTGGTGTCAGGTGAGCCCTGTGGTCACCTTATAGAGTGCCCTGTGTTTCCTATTCCTGATATCTCTCAGTGTGTAAGTCAAATTCAAGGGCCAAAACTTTCTTGAATGAAGTTGTTTTAGTCATTTTTTTTGTTGTTGCTTTAACCAAAAAACCTGAAAACAATTTTAAGGAGGAAAAGTTTATTTGGGAGTTCATAGGTTCAGAGGTCTTAGTTCATAGATAGCAGGCTTCATTCCTTGAGGCTTGAGGCAAAGCAGAATGTCATGGTAGAATAATGTGGTAGAAGAAAGCAGGTTGGGACATGGCCACCAAAAAGCAGTGACAGAGACTCCATTCAACAGGAATAAAATATGTACCCCAAAGGCACAACCCCCAGGAGCCGCCTCCTCCAGCCACTCCCCACCTTCCTACAGTTACCACCCAGTTAATCCCTATTAGGGGATGCATGCACTGATTAGGTTCAGATTCTTATAACCTAATCATCTCACTTCCAAACTTCCTTGCATTGTCTCCCACATGAGCTTTTGGGGGACACCTAACATCTAAACCATAACTGAAGTGAACTTCCCTTAAGGCAGTTTCTTGCAAAGAGATCTGGGCTAACATTTTAGAGATTGTAACGTCCAAGCATCCGCCAATCAACAATTAATATAAACTACAGCCATGCTTCCTGGGAATGTTCTCAGTCCAGCATAAATCATTTCTCCAGTGAGTCACATGTCTGCCATCTTCCTTCCCATTTCCTACTGTTGATTTCAAGAAAGAGGTAAATAGATGCTCCATGGAGTTTTTGGCATGTAGGTTGCTAAGGCCAGAAATGAAGAAACACTGTGGGAAGTCGAATCCTTTTGTGTGGAGAACTTCAGAGAGGCCCACGATGGCAGTTTTCAGAAGAAAAGTTACAAAGAGATGAGAAAAAATAGATCAGCCAGCAAGGGCAGGTGGGAGGTGTGGGGAGTACCTCTCAGGTGAGTGGAGTAGAAGTCACATCATACAGGAAGACAAAGGGAAGTGTGGTCCTAGAGATGCCACACAGGTGGAACTCATTTCTTTTGTGGCATATGAGGATGATGTCAAATGGTGTCTCTGCATCCTGAAGAGAAAGCCAGTGGCTCAGGCCATTAAAAGTCTGGTTCCCCGAACGTCCAGAATAAAGAAGGAGTTTAGGGTGGACATACCTATCTTATGTATTCTCTGAAACACAACAGAAAGAGCATCTCACCTTTTCAAAGTTGTTGACTTTAAAATCAGATGTCATAGGTTTCTATAATTATGAATTGGGATTTTAAAATCATGGTCTTAGTGGTATGCCAGCAAATGGCTGCTTCCTTTCTGTGTTTTTTAACAATAAAATATCAAATAAGATCTCAAGCTTTTTCTTTGTACAAATAGGCTGCTTTTTTTTGTAGTGTGCTGCTGCTGCTGCTGTTTCAGGCTTCCCCGACATTAACCAGAATTTGATCCCATTTCCCAAATAGTAAATGATCTTGTCCATTTTCCAGGCTTGGGATGAGCTCAACTGGACAGCGGGGCTGATGTCTTTTCTCACACCATCCATCCTCAGAGCCAGCATGTGATGATCCATCACCTCATAGAGGATTTAAACAGGGTCTTTGCAGTAAAGCTTGCAGAACCTAATCATCTGGGAAACAAACAGATGTCTCTTTCAACAGTTATGCATGGCTTGGTGGGAGTTTTTCTTGGCAGCTGAAAATACAGCCTTAATGTCTTCAATAGATGAGCATCCTCTAGCACATTTGAGGTAGGAACCAAGTTACCAAAGTTTCCCACTTGCAGTGAATTTTAAGTGGACAGAGAAAGGAAGGAGGAAAGATGGTTACAATGATGGAAGCCCACCCTGGGCCAGACACCTGTTCTCAATTTCTAAATACCGTTTCTAGGTGTTGGGAGTGAGCAGGGGGATTTGGGTTGTTGTGTCCCATGATTGAGATACCGTCATCCTGTCTACTTTCAAGTGAGGTTATAGACCACCCTTCTTTCCCTTTTACCTATAAACTTTGAAAAGAAAGAGTGTCCATGACAGGTCCCTCTGCACAAATGGAACATGAGTAGGTCATATGTGAGCCTGTTCACACCCCAGGGGTTTTATTCTTTAATGCAGAGCCAAGCAAAGTATGCTGGTAACCATTAAAGACTAAACACAACCCAGAAAAAGAGGGGTGGGGCTTATTCTCAGCCTGAAAGGCAACAGGGACTGATTGGACAAGCCTTGGGAAGATAGCTGTTACACCCCACTAATGGCATTAAGCAACAAAACTCAAGAATGACTTTTGGCCCTGCCCTCTTAGGAACCGATTTTGATTAGTACCATCCTCTGTTCTACATCCTGCCAACCTGACCTTGGCTGTGGGAAGAGATGTTTGATTTTGATTAATTGAGGAAAACTGTGCATCTGTGCATCCATTTGCTGTGTTTTGTTTTTAT